TTTCAATGGCTTAGAAAATAAACTATGGAAATTATAAAGTGGGCTAATCATTTACCCTTATTCAGGGATGCTGATTGTCATTTAGCAAGTTCACTGCATGTGCTTCTGAGTCAGCAACACCCAGTAGATCTTCTGTTCCTTAATACTTGATTAATGTGCCTAAATTCAGCGTCGTCTGCACACAAAGTAAACTACGATAATTCACTTTCCAGCTTTCTAATTGAGTTTCTCGAGACGTTCTCATATTGGTTTCACTTCGGATGTAACTAAGCAGATTTGGAACCATCTAAGTGCATTAAAAGTGGATGGCGTTCCGAAAAACTCGGTTAATAATGCAGCATTACTTACAAACACACAATGGCAAAGTTATTGTCGGTTTTAAAATTAACGATGGAAACTGGAAACTTGTTTAAATAATTCAGCTGTGGAAAGTTTTTGCGAGTGAAACTTTGCGGCATGATCAGTTTGTGTTATTGGCGCTGTGCAGATTCGGAGTTTCGAATAAACCGTTCTTTGCGCTTTTAATTGATATGATTGGGTTTGTTATTGAAATGAGGCAATTCAAACTTTTGCCAAGACCAGTGTTGAGTAGTAGCGTTGAGCAAAACCTCGAAGGAAAATCACGGGGTTTTTATCGCAGAAATATCCATTTGCATTGACTTTGGCTAAATCTGAGGCGAATACAAACTCCGAAAGTTCAAATAGAGTCATTCTGAATAAGAGGCTTTATATACAGTGTAGAGGGCTTTGAGTTTTTGCCATAAAACTTTTGGCTTTTTTAAACATGTTATTTTTATTGCCCTACCAAAAAACGCTGCCGATGTAAATCAAAGCACGTTTAATACATAACAGTACGCCCACCTAACCACTTAGCATTTTAAGTACCTCATAAAGGCTTTGAATGGACAATTTCAGCGATAAACTCCATTAAGCAAATTTATTTTTAAGAAATTGATGCACAATGCTAGATAAACAAGAAGAAAATGGCACGAGCCACTACCGAAGATTAAAACGGCGGTTTTTAGTTGCCTTAAAATAAAGATAGAGAATCTTAGATGCTGCTCAGATCCCTCACAAATAATAAAAAATAGATTATAGTATATATAAATATAAAAAAATAGGTACAATAAATGGTGTAAAAGTAATTTTTGAGTAGTTTTGGACACGAACAGTTTTTAACAGTAAACGTTTCCAAATGTTTCCATGTGCAAAGATTCTTTCTGAAAACTTACGTGCTCGGTTTGCTTTAAAAATTCATAGAAATGAAGAAATTAAATGTTATTGATAATGAAAAATAATTAATAATCTATTAAAATAAGCGATCGAAGCAATTAGTCGACGCCGTGAAAAGTTGTAATGCAAAATTCACACATACAGTTTTACCTCTCACCAAAGCTGGCAGTAAAATCTGCAATTGATGCGCCTATAACGTGGAAAGATAAATATCAGCCAACTTTATCAAACCTCTTACGCCGAAACGTTAACCGACTTTGCGAGCAGTCGGAAATTGTACAACTAAAACATATTATATATTCATTAAAATTATATGATAGTTTCCGTACTTTATGCCGCTTTGTTCTCCGCATTTCCTCGAAATATAACTCGTAAAGGAACGGGAACTGAAACGTGGATAATAGCTTGGTGCCGCCTCTTACTCTCTTGACTTAGAAGCGAACCAATAATACTAACTTGCTTAGGTTTTGACGATGCGTTTCACGAATATGCTAAATAACGCAGCAAATCTTCCAAATTAAATCAAATGCACATGACCCGAAGCAACAACACGTTTAATTCGAAAAGCGCTTGTAGGAATTGTCTCTATGTAGAAGTGTTTATATATAAGGTTTGATATCAATCACCCTAGCTTTGACCACCGCGCTGTCCAGATCTCAGTCTAGGGAACTTTTTTGCTAGTGAAGTCAGCGATGGCAAATAAATTGCTAATTAGCACACAAGCCGCCTGAAATTAAAATTTGCAATTATCAGTTCCAAATGTGATTTGCAAAGCCAATATTTTTTATCTTTATGCGTCAAATTAATTCTGTAAAATTCCTCGATTGCGCGGAAACAGCGAGTGCCAATGTGGTTCGAACTAATGAATAACCATTAGCATGGGATTGGAATCGCGGTTTTACTTGATGCAGCGGATTGATGTACATTTGCAAAAATCGTTCATTTTATGATGAATAAAAATTCCTCTATAAGTTATAAATTAGGTTTCGGGACTTTATATAAAATTTAATAGTGCTCCTGAATTTTTTTGGAAATTTGCAGTTTTTAATTAGCAAAAGAAAAACTTTTAGAATATTTCAAATCAGCAGGTTCTTTTCTATTAATTAGACATATTTTTTCTTCAGCATTGATGAATTTTCAACAATTTTTGGGATATTTTTATCTGCTAGTGAGTTCTTCGGGCTTTAAGACCGTCGTGAAAACAATTTCTTCCTGATGACGTTGCGCCAGCACGATTGGTCTGCATCTTCAGAGGTGCGATCGCTTCGAGTGCGACCTAAACGTCCGAAAAACTCGCCAGTTTCATCTTCATTATGCTTTGTGGTTTATTCACAACAAAAACAAACAAACATGTGATTGAATACTCTAATAATTTCCCCGAAAAAACGCAAACTTGCAAAGCCACTTTCAGTAAATAACAGCAGTCTAGAGCCGCAAATATATATCAATAAATGTCTTGCTTTTGGGCATGCATTTCAACCCTCAGCAGTGTCTTAATTAAGTTTTACTCGCTATTTACCCTGAAGTCGTGTTCTGGCATAACGCGACATCCTTACATCAGGATTATTAAGACCGTATCGCAAAGCCGTGCCCGGATTTATGCGGAGTGTTTCGATTTTATTCGAGTTTTAATAAAATTAGCCGAAACGGCCCGAGTGGTGAGCTTTTAGACACCGAAACTGCTAAATTACATGCAACATTTGTACGATAAATTCCCAACTAATCCAGAAGTAACAAGGACATGAATTAAATCCTGTTCCAACGTTAAGTAAACCCTTTTTATCAGGAAACTTTTCCGTCTGCACTTGCCGTTCGTCTTAACATCCTGACAACTTCTTAATTAAACTTTACTGGCCCTGAGTTTTCCTGTATAATTTAACGTAAATTATCCAGTTTAGTTGATTAGGAAGGCTCAGTAAAAGTTTATATTCCAGCTAAATGCATGACGTTTATATCACTACCAGTTCTAGCGCTGAAATTACTGTTATATATTAACGAAGGAATCCTACCTAAAGATCTACTTGCTGTCGGCTTTACAGCGCTTTCTTCCGCTTTAGCAGCCTTGTTCAGCTTCAAAAATCAGAGATAATCAGTGCAGTTACACAGTAAAACAAAACTTGCCTGATCAATTCGAATGTCGTTTTGCGACGGTTCTCACAAAACTAAATTGATGAACAAAATGATTCGTAAATACTGTAATAATTTTCCAGTTTAGTCGCGACAATTTCAAACGATTAGAAGAGAGGACATGATAGGTTTATATCGATAAAGTCGCGTAGAATCAGGAAAGCAACCGCAAGTCGACGTGTACTTATTTGCCTCGTAAGTTTACCAGCAAAGTTCTGAAACTTTCCCCCGAGAATTATCTGAGAGCAAAGCAATTAAACTATTTAACAAGTTCTTATAAACAGACCAAATTGTAAATGGAAAACTCCGAAAGGCAGGATGCTTTTAGCCCTAATCCTTCTTTAAATTGCTTGAAAAGTTTAGACAAAACACCGTTTGTGGCGTAAACACAAAAAAGAACTGGGCGAAACGTTAAGAAGTTTGCCCGGAGTCTATTTTGCATAAGCTTCCGCCTCTTAGGGCCATGACTCGCCAAGTTTTCAACATGGAATATTTTGGTAGCAGCTTTATTTTTTTTTAATGGGAAAAAAGGGCCACTAAGGCCATCGGCATTTACACTCAATTTCACGTTTTTCTTGTAGATTTCAACAATCCAGTCTTTATGAAAATGCAGCAGTAAATGAAACAATAAAACAGGTCTTTGATGTCTAAATGAAAACAGGGAACGAAATTATTTAATACAAATCTGGCTGCAATTTCTGTAATATGCCGAAATGTGCAGTGATGCAAGATTCCCGGCTACTTCAACCAGCATCTTCCCCTAAAACAAGCGTTTCGAACGAGGACTTAAAACGTTCGCTCCATTGCATTTGGGCGCCCTTCAATGTTCCCCTTACTTTATTGAAACCCAAGACAATATTATTTAAACACAAACAGTCCTTAATAACTCGCTTAAGGCGTCGAGTTCGAATACATTTTCCTACTCCCCCTTTTAATAACGATTTTAGTTTTAGACACGCTCCTGCATAGGTACGAATGAGTTAGCATATAAAGTGATAAAACAAGAACATTGACGCAAATTGGGAAAACGACTTTAGGCAGCCAACTTTTGAAATGAAAAGAGCAATAAAACGTGAACATCAACTGTTAAGAAATCGTCAATGTTTCAGTTTCAAACTACTAACTGAAGGAAATCTGTGTCATCCATATAAGACTGTTTGATGAAGAAACACACATTTTTTTGACTAGTCTCCAGTTAACCGCTGTTGCGCTGGAGAAGAAATATAGTGCTGGATATTTTCAATCAATGTTTTAAACAATGCGCCCATTTATCTAAGTATCACTATTAAAGAAACCAGCGTGTTAATAAACAATTAAAAAAAATAATATATACCTGATGAATTTCCGTCTCGTGTTAGTCCAGTGGTGGAGTGGAGAAAGCCATGGAAAATATCCATTTTGCTGTGGTTAAACGCATCAACCATAAATTACATTTCTTAAATGCTCTACGTGAAACCTAAAAATTAAGTTGCAGTTGCAAATTGACATAAAAAATGTGGTTTTCCTTGAAATACTCACTGCAGTAAAACTGTGAAATTACTAATGTGCATCCTAAAACGGCCAATACATGTTTGAAAACAATTGCCATAAAAAATCTGTAAAAAATAATGGATGACGATGACTAAAATAAAACAAAAAAATACAGTGCATAAAGATATATTTGTCTTCATGTACAAGCAATATTACATAATAATTCCGTATTATAATAACCCTACAGTATAACAAGGGGCCAGCAACCCCTAAAAAGAGCGCTCTCGGAGGGTACTCCTCGGTAGGAAAAGGAAATCGGAATATATTCGATTAGAGAACAACAATCGCACGTAATAGTAACTTGACCCTAACGCCAAAAATCCCTGGACCAATATTTTTACATTTTTATGCGCAACTACTACAGTTTACATCATTATATTTCAGTATATTATGTTTATATCGTTTTTACGTCTAAATCCAACTGGCTTACCTGAAAGTTCTGCTGAGATTTGTCAGTCGAGATAGTCGATAAAAGACTGAAACTTCCATAACGGACTTAATATAAACTAGGTCTATAAAAAGCACATTAAAGCTCAATGTACATCGGCATACTTAATATGATTAAATCGAGTTTCACCGGTATTTATGACGAATATGAAATGAATAGTTTTCCTTGCCCCAACGCACGGTGTTCATTTATAGATGCACAATTAGATCATTGAAACATCTAGCTATTAATTTTTTAATGTCTAACACGACTGAAACATACAACACCGATACTTGGCAGAACAAAGAAACTTCAAAATGCCAATATGATCGTTCAAGGAGAATCATTACCAACTGGTTCCAATCAATCTTCTACATTTCAACATTTAAAAACTATAAGCGAATTGTGATATCAGCTGGATTGAAAATCACCACAACTGCAGTGCCGAAATGTGTTACTGAAGGAATAGCGGCGGCTGATTAGATCAAACAAATTCTGCCCATCATCTGAACAATCAATTGGCCCATCTTTCAGCAACACGACACCAACATAGGTAACCTAACGGACCTAGCCGAACATACACAGTTAAATAAAAGTTACAGGCAAAAGCACTATAGTGTCCTTTGAACTCGAGACACATGCCCAGAGTGTTGAATACCGGAGAGTTGAGGAAGTATACGGGAGCCTTAGCATCACCTCAAACCAAAATGAAAATGACGAAATTATGTTAACTATAGTTCTAGTTTTTTGTCTACTGTAAAATGCTGTACTCCAAAAATTACAAAGTTAATCTAAATTCAGTATTTTTGGACTTATTTTAAAAAACGACGCTTATAGTTTTTGCAGTTCGTATTACATTGGCTGGGTTTACTTGTTCCATTGGTTAGACCAACTCTGCAAATTAAAATGGGTTAACGTCAATTTGTGTCTACGAGTTATTTATTTGAACATTTCTTTTTTCATTGAAGTTATTTCAATTTACAGTAATAAAAATTAATGTTTCATGTTGTTACAGTACAGTCTAAGGCAGTTACGCACAACATGCATTGGTGAGCAAAAGTCTGCAATAATGGAGATTGGAGACGCAAAACATCCGGTAGATTTGTACACTGAGGTATGAATTATATAACGGCATTTTTATTGTATGGAATTTCTATCTAATGGAAGACTGAACATACGTTGTATACGGTTTTTCTATTCCACATTTTTTTCCGCACATTTCAGATTTTCAGGAATTAATGTTACAAATCGTTATTTTACTAATCTTTTCCTTAAAATATGTGCAACCTAATTTGGGCATTTAATGTGCAAACCAGAAACAATTCAAACAAAATGTTTTGTATAAAAGTACACATTTTAAGGCTCTAGGCTGTAATCATAAAAAGAGCTAGGCAGCTCAACCGGCTCTTTAAATGTGAGTCAAAAACTAAGAGCGCCTCTTATCCCATGTATTAACATAGAAAAGCTCACTTTCCGGCTCTATCATGCAAGCACAATTAGAACTTTGTAGCCCGATCGGTTCTCAAAATATGAGCAAAATACTAAGAGCGGTTCTTAACGCCTGCATTAATTTAGATTGTTCGCATTTTGTGTCAAAACTAGAAACATTCCTTAAACGTTCATGTCCGTAGGATCCATTTAGATCAAATGGAACAATAAGCTAAGGTACTTTTAACTTTACTAATACACAAATTCAGCAATTACACTTTTTCAAGCTTTATACGAATTATTGAAGTTTTTATCGTATGTCCACACCTAACGAGTAGAGAATGAGCAGCGACCAAATTTCTGTAGGAAAACACCGACAGACGATCGATTTTCTGTCGGCGTTTTAACGTAATATCAAAGAAATTTGCAGCTAATCAGACTAGACTCGGATTAGGGCTCGGGCTCGGCTCGTTAGGTGTGGCCGCGGCAATAAGTAGGCTTTTGTGTGCAGATATGTTAACGTCAGATTCATTAAAATAAATATATTTGACCGCCATTTCCTCACAAACTGTGGATTCAATACACACAAACAATAGAAATTCGAAAATTGCACACAGTGTATCTTGTGTAGTTGCAAAAAAGGATTTCCGTCAATTTCACAAAAAAAGGTATTTCATGCCTCAGTGTAAAGAATTTCATAGAAAACACTTGGAAACTTCCCAGCTGTTTTGCGGTATTTCGGTTATTTCAGACTTTTTCTCAAAACTGTAAACAACAAACAAAAATTTGGGCAATTTTTCCTGGCCATGTTTTGCGCTGGCAAGACTTAGTGAGAAAATACATATATTAAATATTTCGAAATAAAATTTTAACCAAATGCATCTATCCATCTATCTTTAAGCCCAAAGTTGAAGCTGCAAAATATGAGAAAGTTTTTGAGCCGAGCTTTACAAATAGTTTAAATTTTCAGATATTGAGTACTCGCGGTTCCTTGTTTCCATTCAAGCAAGTCTGCATTTCGTTGTAGCAATTCCAAAATCGCTTTAAATTTAAGGAGAACAAACGGATCTTGAGATAGATACCAAACTTTGCAAAAAAGTTTGGGGATTTTTTCTTTCCAAGTCTTGCAATTATTGTTTGTGAACTTACCAGTTTGTCTGGCACATCAGACATCGGACGGGTATTATCCCACGGCAGATCCAACTTGTTTACGTCAGGAATAAACTCCCCAAAGTTTGAGACTGGAGGTTGGCGGTTGTTGAAAAAAGGCGGCCCCATGAAGTTGTCCATGTGACCAGGCCTCTGTAATCAATTTATTTAGGTAAATACGGGTTTTTAAACAATGCGTAATTCAGTTTAGTCACCTGCACAAAGTCCATTGGCGGCTCCTCGGAATACATCGGCGGTTGTCGCATTCCGTACTCCAAACTATTGCCGGCCCACTTGGCTTGATTATCCATAACTGACCAGTTTGGATCCAGCTGGTGGATGTAACCCTTCCGAGCCCGTTCGGTACCAATGGGTTGAGGCTTCCTCTCCTCGGCATATCGCCCAACATCTGAATGTAAACCGGCTTGGTGCGGCGCTACTGATATATTTGGCGACATGTGGGGCGAATTTGTAACAATTCCGGACAGACCTCCTGAACTGGTTTCTCTAGTTTCTCCACTATATGCTTTGGCGTGAATGTTTTTCAACGTCATTCCGGCTAGATCTTGCATCATGATGTCATTCTGCTGTTGGGAGAACGTCGGCTGAGGTACGCCCATCCATGAAACACCGGACGTGTCATTTCCGAGCACCCCGCCTCGATTGTAGCCCATATTACCAATCTGCATTGAAAATTGCGATTATTACATTTTACATTTCTTCTGGACATTTTATGGACATCTACCATAAACCATTTCTAAAGTTTTTAGTAGTTAAATCGAGATTCTTAATCATTTCTAAGATGTTTCAATAGCTAAATCGAGATTTTTAACAACTTCTAACTAAAAATTTTCAGTAGTCAAATTAAAGTTTTTAACTGCTTCTAAAATTTTCAATAGCTAAATCGAAATTTTCAACCACTCCTAAAATTTTTCAGAAGTCAAATGAAAGTTTTTAATTGCTTCTAAAATGTTTTAAGTCGAATCGAGATTTTTAATTACTTGTGAGGTGCTTCATGGGTCGACTAAACCACTTCTGAAGATAGTTTGGGAGTCACAAATATTTAAAAGAAAGCGAACATTTAGATCAAATTCGAAACTTTCATTTGCATGGTTCGCAAAATTAGAACTTGGTAACAAATCGCTGCTTGTCCTAGTTGGTCAGTGACAAACTTTTACATAGGAGAGAAGATCTGGGTGAAAATCTTCATTTTGAAACCGTCCTTTACATAGTTGGTAAAAATCAAAAATTTTCGGGATTTTAATTAAAATATTTGTGATATAAGAGACAAATGCTCGTAATAGACTGAAAATTTCAAGTTACTACTTGCTCTGGTTAGAAAGTGAGAAATTTTTATACAGACGCTAACATCTAGGTACGAATCTTTATTTTGAAACCATCCTTTACATAGTTGGAAAAAATCAAGATTTATTGCGATTTTAATGAAAATTTTAGCAAGATAAGCGGCAAGTGTTGGCTATAAACTGTGAATAATTCTAGGTGCTACTTGCCATTGTTGAGAAGCTACACATTTTTAAATTAAAGCCAATATCTGGGTTAAAACGTTAATTTTGAGGCTGACATTGCTACTAATATTGCATCTACTTGCTACTAATATTAGGCAAAAAAATGTTCACGTCACATTAGTGTAAATGCTTACGTTGTTGAAAAAATCAAGATTCCATATATCAACTGTTTTCTTAAGTAAGTTTAACATACGTTGCTTCAAAAATAATTAATTAGCTATTTTTTATGTATATTGCTGTTCTAAAGTTAGCATTTATTTTTGCAATAGATAAGCATTTTATAAGAGTAAAGGACTTTCCTAAAAAACCGAATAATTAACGCGTTTGGGGCACCTTGTAAAATTGTCCTACCGGGCTGCCGGTTGGATAAGTTGGCAACGCTCTGGGCGGTGAGACTTTAAAAATTCGATAGTTCAAACTTAAGGCCCAGCCTAGTACACATGATTGCGAAAATATTATGAGTGATTGATTTGTTGTCGCACCATATAAAAATGTGGTTGAAAATCGCAATGAACTACTAACCTCCATGTTTCCTTTATTGGCAAACATATTGTTCGGCATGTTCATCGGGTACCCATTGTATAGAGGTGGAACCACGTTCTTATTGGGTATGGAATTGTACCCGCCAGGATACTCCAATGCGCCCGGATTTAAATTGCTGAGAGTGGAACGCTGATTGATACCGCTGGGCTGTTGCATATTGACTTGGGGCTGTGCTTGTGAAAAGTTCAGTGGCATCGTGTTGATGTTCTGTAACAGCTTGACACCCTCGTTACCTAAACTTAACAATGGGAGTGTGCTCGGCGGCTTGCTATAATCCATAAATGGGCTGAACTCTTGTTGGGTGTTGTGCGGTCTAGAACCGATTGGCGGCAGAGTGTTCTGCGGCTTTGTTGCTTCTTGATAGATCGGGAATGAGTTCGCACCTGATAGATTGGGAGGAGTAGTACTATTGCTACTAGTTTTTGAGGAAACAGGTGAGCAGACTGCTGCTCCACGATATCCAGGTGCTTTAGTGATATCCACTTGAGGTGGTGGTTCTTGATCGATGAACTTATGCTGTTGAGCTGTAGATTGACTGTTCCCACCACCCGCAGCTGAAGCGAAATTTTTTTTATGTTCATCTCCCATTGACCAAAAATACTCCACTGGGCAGAATAAAGTATATTGTGATGTTGGTCCAACTGGTGGATGCAAAATTTCGTCTTGCGTTTGCTTCTGCTGGGGAGGTTGAACGGCAGCTGGTATATTAGACGCGGTAGTGACAACGCTAGCAGTCGGAGCGACTTCACTGATAGCAGTGGCAGGCGTCATATTATGATTGGATTGAATTACATTGCCAAAAATCAGCTGCGATTGGCTCTTGCTCGCAGGCGGTTGGAAATGCTGCATCGATGGTGGCGCTGAACCAGTAGGTGCCGGTCTAGGGGCGTTCTTGCTTGGTGAATTATGCACGTTACTTATTGAAGTCGGTGTGCAAGTTTGAGATGAAGCTGGCCCAGCTACACTTGGCATGTTTACAGCCGTTCGAGGCTTCGCCGCTACCACATTGGAAGCAGCTGCACTGACACCAACATTCGACGTTGTAGTTGAACTCACATTTTCAGTCAGCTTTTCTGCAAAAGTTTGACTTGCACTAGTGGTGATGGTTTTCGCAGTTGCTGATCTGCTACTATACGTCGCTGTTGATGTTGGCATTCGAACAGGATTCGCTGACATGGACTGCTGCGCTTTTTCCGAATGGTTCATCATTCTTGGCGCTGCAGCTCTGGCATTACTAGATGCGGGAGCCGATTGCCGGTATTTCATCGATGCAGTGGAATACCTAGAGGTGGACTGCTGCGTCGTGTTAGCACTGCTTGATGTCAACTTAACATGGAGCTGTTGCAGTGTAGACTGACTGGACATGACTAACTTTCCAGCATTCTTTTTAGTTGCAATTTGAGTTTTATCCCATAAAGTCGTTGTGGTGTTTACTGCCTTAGATGTTTTTGGCAATATCGACATAATGTCGACTTCTGGATCTTTGATTAACGTCGCTATCAAGTTATGCGCTTGCTTGGTTATTTCTGGTGTCCCCTTAATAGTAATTATCCGCTCTCCCTGACCTTTACTCTGTTTCTCTACTTCAATCAAGGCATTGGTGTGCTGTCTAATTGCGTTAATGTTGCTCCCACCTCTACCAATTACTCGAGATATAGCATTTAATGGTACAGACACTTTCTTCACTCCACTCTCTGAAACAGTCTGCACCGACGACTTGCGAACTACCTCTTTCCATCCTTCCTCTCGTTTTGTCGACTGCTTCGGGCTTATGTTGGTATTTTTAACGCTGTGCGAATAGTTGTGGTTGTCCTCACTGGACTTCTTAGTTTTAGGTGGAGCCACATAAGTTTCGTTGCCAGTTGCCTCGAAGTCATCTCGATCTGCTGGAGACTTGGTAGGTGCTGTATCGAAAGTCATCGATTTCGGAGATTTTTCTATCGTCATGCCGCAATGTGACTTTCTGATGGATACCTTAATTGAAGCCTTGGGTTCCTTGTTTTCTTTATCTTTAACCTCAGACTTTGCCTGAACATCTTTGCTAGTACTAGCTTTCGGCTTCAAGGATAAGTCGTCTTGCTTGCTGACCAATTCTTTTCCTTTCTTGTTCTTCTTATTTTTGCGCTTTTCCTTTGGAGACTTCTCCTTAATATCATTGCTGGAACAACTGCCTTGACTGTTAGCATCAATTCCGCTATCGCCCTCCTCTTTGTCGTTGTTGTTTGTATGCGCAACATCCGAAGCTGCGTCATCTACATCTCCCTTACTCTCCTTTTTCACGTCATCATAGCTCTCATTTTTCTGATTTTCTTCCAATAATTTCTTCTGCTGCTCTTTCTTTTCGAGACGCTTCTTCTTCTTTCTCTCGCGACGTTTGGCTGCCTGCACCCTCTTCGATTCTTCTTTAGTTCTTTCTGACTCAAGTTCTTCGAGAAGATTAGATGCGTTTTCGTTCGCCCTTGCAGCTTGAGTCTCTTTCGCTGCTCGGATTATTTTGACGCAGTCGTCGCATTTGTCAAGCAGCTCTTTATCACTCGACGTGGCTATAAATCTCATCATTTCCTGGTCACTGGGAAATTGAGTCACATGCTGTACCATCCACTTGGCTACACGCACATGACCTTTACGAAAAGCAGCCATTAAACACGACACTTTACGATTATCTTGCGAATCGATATCAGCATTATGCGCGTAAAGCATTTCGATAACAGGCAAGTGGCCACCGTTGGCAGCCAACCAAAGAGGGGAGTTTCCTTTCTTGTTCTTGACTTCTACTTGGGCGCCTCTATCTAACAATAGTTCGACGAACTTTACGTGACCCTTATCAGCAGCAATAGTTAAAGCCGTGTCTCGGGAGGAAGGAACAGGAGATGCATTGACATCAGCCCCTGGAAAGAAAAACATAAAATGCATTTAAACTGAACGAAACTCTGCTTCAGTATTACTGTTACCGACAATGTGGAAAATGCCTAGGCATTCTGCAACTGACCAACTTGCCAAGCACTTTGCAGAATCGCTACTACTTTGGGCAATGTGCACAATGACTACGATATTTTATGCGCTAGTCAATCTAAGTGTTGAAGATGTGTACTTTTCACATTGACTAGGCAGTGTGCACCGTGCAAAATACTTCCTGCTGCAAAACTCTGCAAGTTAGATTTGCCACGGAATTTTACGCAAGTTTACGCTTAGCCCCCTAAGCATCAAACAACTTTGTAAAATTTACGGCGTTTTCAAAGTGTTGTTGCCTATTGATTACTAGTTTGTTTATATTCCTGTCCTATTAGCGTCGTGCAATAAAATGTTGATTTTGACATTAGAATTGATAATTTAGTTTAAAATGGAAGCCAGCGTAATAAATAGAAGACAAAGAATCAAACAATTTGCAATGAAAAATCAAAGTCTAAATATGTAGCCGAATACAAGATTTTCGAGAAACGATGGGCGGGAAATATGTAAATGCCGTTAATGAAAACAAACTGATCATTTTGTGCGTGCCTAAAAATTTAAATAACTTTCGCGATTACGGACCTAATGGTTTATGCTTCCATACTTGAATGCTGTTGATAAATTTTAATATTAGTGTTAAATAATCTTATTGCATTAAATTGTTTCGTATTTGGTAAGATAGTATTTTCCTTATAAACTAAATAATTAATTTAATATACCAATGTCTTTATTTCGGGTCTCCATTATAGATCACTGAACAACAGATTGGCATAATCGCCGCTCGGCAGAAAGTAAACAGCAATTTTGCCGCATCAGGTATTATGCACATCATCTAGTCAATGTGAAGACCAAACGTATGACATTCAGATTGAATAACTCGTGCAGCATTTTACAGATTGCCTGAAATACCGTAGTCAATTTGCAGATTGAGCAAAGTAGTAGCGGTTCTGCAAAGAGCCGGGCCAGTTGGTCAGTTTGCAGAATGCCTATTACCTGAACCTTACTACATAAACACGATTTTTACTTAAACGCTGATGGTTTCTTCCGTTCTACATAATTATTATGGATCTAGATGAATTGATGATACTGACCTTTATCTAAAAGAACCCGCCCTACTTCCACATATCCTCCTGAAGCTGCTTCCATAAGTGGGGTCAATCCGGTCTTCGCTCGATGTTCTACATTTGCCTTTCGGTCCAGAAGCAAGGCGACAACCTCATGACGCCCTTGGAAGCAAGCTAGAGTAAGAGCAGTGTTTCGATTGGTTTCAATTTGGGCATTAATGTCACTGCCCATTTCAAGAAGTAGCTTAACGGCAGCTCCATGACCATTCATTGCCGCTAACATCAAAGGTGAAATTCCAAGCTTAGATCCTAAAGGCAACAATGAAATTGTAAGCTGACAATGAACACTAGCATAGACAGATCAAAAATTTACCCGTTCTCGAATTAATTTCTGCACCATGACTTAACAACAGTTTAATGATGTTAACATAGCCGCCGGATGCTGCTAAACTCAATGGTGTGTAGTCAGAAACATTTCGATGCTCTTTGTTGGCATTTCGAGTGAGCAGCAACTCAACAACTTCGTATCTGCCACCACTGCACGCAAGACTCAACGGAGTGTCTTTGGTACGTTCGGATTGGGCCTCAATATCGGCATTGTGATTCAAAAGGATTTCAACTACTTTCTCATGACCAGCCGTAGCGGCCAAAATAAGAGGCGTAAACCCTACGCATAAGAATAAAATGTTTAAGCAAGGTGTTGAACGAGAATACTAGCGATTGATCAAACCTTTTTTATCACGGTGTTCAATATCGGCCCCTCGACTAATCAACAATTCAACCAGTTCCTCATGCCCTCCAGCGCAAGCTAATGTTAGAGCGGTGTCGTGATTGCTCTCTGTTTCTGAGTCGACATCCATTGATGGTGACGATTGCAGCGAACTGGCACCGGTGCATTGACGTACCGGCTGCTGATTAGCTGCAGCGGCTGCTGCACCACTGTACTGTGTGATTGCTGAATTGTGGTCGATCTGATAGTTCTGTTCATTCATAAAAGCATTTTGAGACGGGTTTAGATGACGGAGTACTCGGCCCTTCTTTAGCTTTATATCGGATTTTATATCGATCTAAAACAATAAAAAATTACGAGTGATAAATATACACCCGGTCCTGCACTAAGTTCTCTTGAATAACCCGGTGATTTTTAAATCTACATTTCTTTGACGATTATCAAAAGAGATATACAGAGTTGCTTATAAGTTTATTTTACATGTTTTATCAAAAAATGTGAAGAAAGTCGGGTCCAGATTGCGTGGCATCGTAAACCTAGAGGCGAGTTTTTTGCTGAAAATCGAAGTCGTACTCGAAAACGAAAAAAGCGAAATCTTTGGAGGTATAATATAAAAAATAGGAAAAATTATCAGCAGAAATATCACACATACTGTCCCCGTTCCGTGGAATACAAATCTTACTTTTTGCAGTTTCTTTCCATCAGGACCAATCTGTGATTGGGTTTGCGTGGCAGCCTGTACCTGATTTGCATTTAATTGCTGTTGCTGCGTTACAATTTGCTGTTGTTGCTGACCACCGATGGTTGGTTGTTGATGTTGAGCGCACGGCTGAGCTATGTGACTACCTAATGAAATAAGAAGCAGACGTTTTAGACCGGGACGATTCGACTTAAAAAATACCTCACACCTTGAGTAACGATTCCACATTGAGCCATTTGCTGAGCTTGTTGAGGTAACGGAACACATGACTGAGAGTTAGAGGAGACATAGTTCTGTTGTTGACCGCTAAGAGGTTGAGCCACAGCGCCTGTTAGCGAGTCTGTTGACAAACAATTGGTTATTTTCGTTATTTCTTTACAATTTTTTGAAGCTCCTTTATACAGTGCACATTTAGGACAAAATATACAAACCTAGCTGCTGCTGTTTTAAACTATAACCGGCTTGAAACCCTTGCAAATAGTGGTCGTAAGGGTAAAGCGCATGCACGGGGACTTGACCTGTGGGCCCGGATGTTCCACTGCCAGTTGGTACAGCAAAATATTCCACTCTCGAATGATCAGCTATAGAGAACGAAAACATAAGCGTTAGTGTAAGAGTTTTAAAACCGAGAAAAGAACACACCATTCGACCTTTTTTCATAATTTTTTTTTTTTTTTGAAGCAAATATCCTAGAATAAATGCATTAGGAAAGAAAAATCTTAGCCACTTTTTAATACATTCAAGAGATTGAAGTGAAAAATACGCGTCTTGTATAATAGTAACAGGGAGTGAATTACAAGATGGAGAAAAACAGGCGAAATTCCTTTTAAGGCAAGATTGCTCACCTACAGAGTATTATTTCTGGAAGATTTTGCCAGTCGAAAATCTCTTCAAAAATACACAGACAATCGCGGCTGCAAAATTACTGCTGCCTAATTTAAAATACAGCTTTTTGCAACTACTCGTATAACCGTTTTCACATCAATTATTTTTCACATTATGAAAAACATATTTTTTATTATTTAAAAAGTCCCAGTTTTTCAAACCCGAATATTAATGTTAGTACCTGTATTTCCTGATGCTGCAGCAGCAGCTGCTGCCGCTAACTGAATGTCCGCCTGTTGAGCTGCAGCAAGAGAGGCTATCATAGACTCGTCCAAAGTACCGGGATAAGGTGTAACTTCCAGAGTTTGAACAACGTCGTCGACGAAGTCCTTTTCGGCCAAGTCCAATTTGGTAACCTTCGTAGATAAAGTCGGGTCCTGCTGCGTGGCATCGTAAACCTCGAGGCGAGTTTTTTGCTGAAAATCGAAATCGTACTCGAAAACTGAAAAACCGAAATCTTTGGAGGTATACTTACAGGAGAACCCACAGTCGCAGCTCTAACAAATGGTATTGATGTTAAGGACGCATTATGGAATTGTTGAAGAATGGATGCAGTTAGAATACTTTCTTGTTGCTCATCTTTTAAAAATGTCACGTCTAAATCGGGAACATTAAGCAGGTCGGAAGAGACACTACCATCAGCCTGAAAGCATTTAAAAGAAAACTTTTAAGATATTTCTTTTCGAGATCAGTAGCAAAAGTTTATGAAAAGCTTGGTTAAAATACGCAAAACTGGAAAGAAAAAAATTGTAAATAAATCAGTATGGGTCAATTGCAATTCCAGCAACAATTTTACGGTTATCGTCACAAATACAAGTCCTATTAGTCAATAAAAATCACCCAACATTCGAACCTAAACAAAATTAAATTGGAGCAGGAACGACTGAGCGTCTCATTACAAATTTTTCTAATTTTCTAAAATTAAATATCCCGCCTAAAATAATAAGGGTTCGCCTTTATTTATTTATTGTGGTTTACCACGGTCCAACTACCATTTAGTAGCTGCCTAAAAATTGGACATATAAAAAAATCTGCAGTGCGCTCGATAAAACGCCATAAAAAAATCCAAACAAGGTCGAGTAGTCAATCGTACAATACATGAAAAGTTTGCAGCAGTTAAGTGAAAAACCATTAGTAATCAAACTTGTTCTTAGAATGATTGGGGAACGCAACGACATTGTCAAGCCAATGAGTGATGCATGCGTGTCGAAACAGTTTACCTTTTGAAATTGCATCGGGGGTTGTGGAGTTTGCCCAGGCCTTTGTTGTTGCTGGGGGGGTTGAGGCATCTGCAGTTGTCGAAACATCGACACCTTTAACAAATAAATTTGTTTGGTTCTAAATATAATAGCTTGCGAGTTCTGCATCGTCTGCTTTGTTCCTCCATTCTCTAACCATGTGTTTTACTCATTTTTCTTAGGTGGAATTGTGTTTTTACATCACTGTTTTTGTATTGATTTATCGATCGATACAACTGCAGAATGTGTTTATTCAAAAGCAAGTTCTCTCGGCTTACTTTTCTTTTGCCAGAAAGTCGGCTTATAGAAAACCATTTTAATATCTCATAATTTTCCAAGTGGTGCTATTTCGCAATCTCCTATGGTGTTCTAGCACCAATCATCAATGTCCCAAAACCACTGGGATAATTCAGCAGGATTACTCAACATCAAATCTGCTATGAAACTTCAACATCCACAAAATAATGCATCAAACTTCAATGTCTTCTCAACGTGGTTTTATTACCAAACGCAAACCCCGCCCGTTTTCCAAAGGGGGCAAGGCCTTTATTTCCTAATGAGAAGGTCTGTTGCTTTTATTTCATGCAGCAACCAATTTTGATGATGGCGTTATACTAGTGAATTCCCCAAAATGAATAAAGTATACTTAGCTAATATTATTAAGCAAGATGTGTTCAATGCAAATTTGATTAGAATGATTCTGATGAAGCTCTTTTCGGAAGAAACATTGTCACCAAAAGGTTGCTTAAAAATTAAAACGATTAACTAAATGTCCAACTACTACAAACACTTATTCTGCGATGGTAATATGGTGTTTTTCGCTTATTTTTCTTCGGCTCGAGCTAATGTCGTTGATTATTTAAAGCAATTTTCCTTTGCGTACGTATGCGGTACAAATCTTGTGGGGCACATTCGATGTGATCACCTTAATAACATTTTTTATTTCCCCGCAAAACCAGCTACATATTAAAATTCAACTCTGACAAATGTTTATGATTCGACAGCAACATACCTGTTGATCAGCGAATATATTGAAGGTTTTTGGTGGTGCTACACTGGTTTGTTGCGTAGATTGGTTCGCCCCATTCTGTAATGTTTGCTGCATGCATTGTTGCTGCTGGGCTTGCTGTTGCGCCAATTGCTGCTTTCGTATGTTCTTTCCCTCCTTCTTAATTGGCTTTGCTTTCGGACGATCATTAATAGCAGTATTCTGGAATTCGAATTATATCATTTTGAGCCGATCAGCCTTACTAATGGGAGGAGTTTGCCTATACGCTATATAAGTACCGCGGCGAGCGCCACATGACGAACATTAACGGCATAAATGGGGTGTTGGGGGACGATCACGAAATGGACGCGGATATAAAAACAATTGATTTAACAATTTCTGGTTCAAATCGTGCTTGTGTGGAGAACTGTAAAAATTCAGAAAGAGGAAACCTTTATGGAAGGAAGATTTATTGCGACCATCCATACAGCAACTCGGACATTTTATCTCTAGAAGTTCTATGGAATCATTGCTCCTAATTATACCATCTGGATTGGATGCCTTGAAAAAGTTGAAACTATTGTACACTTAAAGTGATTTATTACTGTTTTGTAAGTTGTATAAATCCTCCAGTAACCTTTAAGACTATGTTATGCTTCTAAGCTTTAGAGGGCTTATAAGAAACTTCTATATCTCTAGTGCATTTTTCACCGGTTTCAAATCAAGTTTCTAGCTTTCGATAGAGTTTCTGGGCAAAAAATGCTTGTATCTACTAATGAAAACCTGCTTTTAAGAGACAGAACTAATAGACACTTTTTTCGCGGATAAAACGCACTATGCGTTCATTCGGCGATTAAAAACAACGTATTTTTGACGAGTCTAAACATAAACGTGTTCATCCTGCTACAAACACCCCAATACTTAAAACGAATATCGCGTTTTGCGCCAAGAGGTACTTACTTAGCCTATAGTGAAATCATTTATAGCAAATCTCGCTTTAAAAAGAACTCCAATTGAAATTACGTCATTGTTACTCAGAAAAACTCCTGCAATTTTTGCGGTTTTATTATAGGCGCCCACATAAAGTAAACCCAACTATTAAACTGTAAGTGAAATAACTTGCAAAAAGCGAGATTTGTAATTTTATAAATTACATTGTTACATTACTTGTAGCATTTGCTATCTTCAACTTACCTGACTAACATCGGCGACACTTTGGAACTTAATTGGTTGGGCAGTTAGAGCTGATGCGGGCACCAGAGTGCCCAATCCAGGAGCCGTTGGAGCGGAAACTATGCCTCCGTTTGCCATCGATGTGCCACTGGCGGCTACCGATACAGCCAATGGCGGAACACTAGTAGCTATTGGGGTAAAATAAAATGCGGGCGCTCCGGGCTGCTGTCCCTGAGTTTGACTTGTAGGCGTAACAAATTGAGAAGATTGAGATGCCGAGAGCGTGTTACTCATTCCTGAGTAGAACGGTAGCTGGGCCTGTTGTGTAGATCCTACGGTGCTGTAACCGAGACCTAAAAAACAAAAAAAAACGTAATAATTTTCCGATTAACACTTTCAATGCCTTCGAAAGTAAAGCTTTTTAGCGGCGGCTCGAATGAAGAGCAAAAGAGCAAGAAATTATTTTCTTTCGTGGATTGCTCTTCATTCGAGCCAGCCTCGGCGCCCATATGGCCCAAATCATACTTAAGCTATAATGACATACACTTATTAAAGTAAAAAATACCTGGTTTTTGCTGTGACATGGCAAGATCGAAATTCATCACGGGGGTGAGTGATGTTTGTTGAGACGCACCTCCTTGCTGTGCCAGACATTGTTCTTGCGGAATCTGATATTGAAAGACATGGCTAGACGCGGCAGCGGCAGCAGCAGCCGCCGCTGCGACCTGCTGAGCCTGCTGCTGCTGTTTCCCATGCAACTCGCGTTCGACCCGATGTAGTTCCTCCAGGATTTGTTGTTTTTGCGTATTCCCTTCAGGATCGAACGGTTTTCGGTTTTTAATGTAATCAATTATGGTGCTACTATTGGGATCTTCTTTACTCAGAAAGTCCATTGCGGCTGTTGCTTCATCTTCGAAGTCAATTAAGGGAGGTGTTCGAACCTGTTGCGCTTCTGCGGATGTTAACGTGCCTGAAAAAGAACAATAACCTTCATTAGATGTCACTAAATGATCAACAGTGAAAACTCCGATAAGCGGTCAGTCACGGTTCCACAAAAAATGTCCGGCTATGGAGGTGTCCGCGTAATAGAGATACGTATTTATTTTCAGCTTCTTTATTGTTTTCATATGTTTTTCTAAGACTTTTCAACATGGAAACCTAGAATGTTATTGTGCCAGTTTATTCACATATTCTAATATGCAATTGAATAATGCAATGTTGAAAATGTGTTTCAAGGTTTTTAAGATATTGAAACGCAATAAAATTATCGTTTGAAAATGTTTGTAAGAGCTTCTCAATTCCCTATGAGAAAAAAATTCTGTCCTCGTCCGTTTACATTGAAACCCATATAACGAAATTTGGTTCCAAGAAAAATTTCCGGTTAAGAGATATCCGCTTAGAACTGCCAGCAAGTAGAGCTTTCACTGTATTGAATATACATATTAACCGGCCCAAATTACGCGAATTGGAAAATAATATGTAGATAATTCCAAGCTTGCGCTTACCGTCAAACATGGCTCCAGTTGATCGACTTTTCGCCAATTGTTTCCTACATTTCAGTTGTTGAGGCGGAGCCGTTTGCTGCCTTGGTTGCTTGGAATTGAATTCAATTGAAGAGGCTGACTCCAAATCCACTTGTTGAATTATGCGGACAGCCTCAGGAACTTCTTGCAGAACTATTGCAACCAATAGGGGAACAAGTCATTTCATGCAATTACTAAGTGATGTAGCTAGTTACCTGAGGGTGGCTGAAAAAACGATCCTCCAGAGGCCATTGTCATGTTAGAAGAGCCAGGCGCCTGTCTCATGCCGCCTACTTGTCCAGGCAACATTGCAAGATTTGTGGCAGCAGTAGTTGCGACCTGCTGTTGTTGGTTCAGCATAACAGAATGAGGATAATCGAGCAACAGTTGAACAACGTTAGCGTGGCCGCCTTTGGATGCCTCAATTAACATAGTTGAATTGTCCTATAAGCACATAAAACGGCTTAAGTTTCAATTCCTTAATATCAACGGAAAATACACCAACCTTCAGTTTATGATTTGGATCGGCGTTATTCTCCAGCAAGAGCTGAACAACTGGTAGATGGCCACCAGCACATGCCAACGATAAAGGTGTATGATCGTTGTTCGTGGTCTGCTTTCGCGGATTTGCTCCTTTGTCGATCAAAAATTTAACCGTGCAAAGGTGACCAGCCCTACATGCCTTCATTAATGGTGTTCGTCCGCCTTCCGACTCATGTTCGATATCAGCTCCATACTATCAGTAGAAGGTATTGTAGTATAAAAATACTTGCAAAATTAACCACACCCACCTGTATTAGAAGTTCGGCTACATCAGTATGGCCATTTTCACAAGCATAAGTTAAGGCAGTGTCGTTCGTCTGGGTAACAGCGTTCACGTTTGCGCCATACTCCAATAAGAATCGCACAAGCTCCAAATGGCCTTCTTGAGATGATTCCATCAGTGGGGTGGATGCTCCTAGCTCGATATCAGCTCCCCCTTTTAAGAGAATATCTGAAACCTGAAAAAATGGAAGCATTAGTGCAAGGAGCAGTTTGAACGCCAGATCAAAAATTATTAATGCATGACTATTACTTACCTCTGTAAAACCGCCGCAACAAGCTAATGTTAAGGCAGTTTCCTGCGTTTCGTCAGTTTGGGCGTTTATGTTAGCGCCTAAGTAAACAGAAACAAACTCAAGTAAATTTAAACCAACTTTACATTGATTTATTTTCAACAAACACCGACATCTCTTCATACCTTGACCAAGGAGTAGATGAACCATCTCTTCGTGCCCTTCACGAGCTGCTTCCATCAATGGAGTATAACCTTCATCGTTCACTTCTTCAATATTGGCGCCACGTTCAATTAACAACATGGCCAAGTCCACATGCCCACCACAAGCGGCTAATGTTAGTGGAGACTCAAAACTGTCAGTTGGCATATTGACCTATAACAAATATATTTGTGAATAATAATCAAATAAAAGAGGAAAACCAACACTGGAACTATTGGCACTTGCATTTATCAAAATTTCCCAGCCCACATGAATAATTGAGGATCGTTTTAAGATCGATTACAGATAGTGAGTTGATTCACCCCTTCGAGATAGGTGTAAAATTTTCGAGCAAAACAAGATAAGAACCATCTTTTCTTTTGCCTGCAAAAATGCCAAAATATAAACAAATTGAATTACTTGAGCTCCAGAATCCAAAAGCAAACGAGCCACTTCTACATGACCATCCATGGAAGCTTCCATCAGTGCCGTGTGCATTTCATCCGTCTTGTGCTCCTGATCGGCACCCGCCTCTAAAAGGAATCTAACCATATCCAGATGACCTGATCGAAAACATTAATTAAACAAATATCTAAAAGCACAGCCGCGAAAAGTGTGAAACGAACCTTTATAACAGGCAAGGGTTAGAGCTGACTCTTTGAATTCGTTAGAATGGGTGTTAATTCCAGCACCATTCATCAGCAAGATCTTTGCTAAGCCTACATGGCCGGCACTAGCTGCTTCCATAAGAGGCGTGTGACCATTCTCATTGTGATCTTCTACATTGGCTCCATGATCCAGAAGGTATTTGACCGCCTGGCGACAAAAACCAAGAGTGTTCACACATGATACATACTGAATATTTACAACAATTTACCTCTGTGTGTCCTCCTGCACAAGCGTACATCAACGGGGTATTGCCTGTGAGAAATTTAATTAGTGTCGTACTTGATTCAGGCCGTCTTATGTTGTAATTGGTCAGTTCAGAGCTAATTACCTGACGTGGACTGTGCATTAACATCAGCCTGATGGTGAATAAGCAAACGAACGATTTCCAAATGGCCAGCAGACGCAGCTTCCATCAAAGGAGTGCATTCTCCTTTAATACCACGATCTTCTACATTTGCATGCATCGCTAACAAAACCTGCAAATTCAATGCGTTTTTCCTCAAGACATCAACCAAAATATTTTAGCTAAATTATTGGAAACAATCCAAATCTTTTTTGAGAAAATCACTATACAATCAATGATATATTACTTAGCTCACACCTCTTCAACGTTTCTATTGAAAGATGTCAGACCAAAGTGACTTATTTACATTGTTGATGCAAGTCCAAATTTCCCGAAAATAATATTTAAAACGTTCCAAGCTGCCCGTTCCATGTCTTATTTAATAAAAGCAGAAAACAAATTTGGTAAACCGACACAATGCACAATTTATTAGCTTTTTACATAGAAATGTGTCGTGGTTACAGTTTGTGATAATTACGCGCAACGATTTTTTTTTGGTGAAATCTTAGAAAACATGTAACTCTCATCAAACATTTTTCAGTGTCGACGGCTATGGATGAACAGGACAGCTCACTAATAAATCGATGTATGATAGACAATGGTTTATTAGAAAAAAATTGTAAATTACGCAAATTGCTTTGACTTAAATCCAAAATCTCAAACACACTAGAATGTTGGGGCGCTCATCAAACAGAAATTAGGACGAAAGACACGTGAAAAAAATACACTTTTACAATACAAATTTTTAAGTTGTTTGTATACAACAGCAAAACTATTCTAGACAACTAACTCAAAATACTATAAACTCCAGGAAAATTAGTGAGTAAACCTATTGTCTACATTTGACCGAAATAGTACGCAAGTTGTACAAGACAAACTTGACTTATTCGGTTCGCAAATCGGAAATGGCCAGCCGAAGTCGCTTCCTTTAACGAAATGCGCTCCCCTCTAAGCCAATGTCTTTGATGTTGAAGTGCATCACTATGAGAACCTGAAAATGCAATTCGATCTTCCTCAAGGGCACCACAACATTACCTAAATTATAGCAAAACTAGGAGAAACCATTCAGATTAAACTCACGTCTTTCTATTGAAAAACTCTAACAGAAGTTGCTCATATTTAGGGATTATGTCGTTTGCATGCACAAATCCAGTGAATTTTTAGGCGATGGAAAAGTCAGTGATGAATAAAAGGATTTAACAAGAACAAAATATATGAGGGTCGCTTGATAAGTCAGTAATTCTTTGAATGAAAGATATTTTTTTCGGATAGGATCCTAGTAAAAAGCGATTGAATGAATAATCACATATACATATATTCCAGCGTCAATAATCACATATACGAAATCGTACCATTCAGATGAATACCATCACGAAACCTATCAAAACACAAAGAGGCATACAACTACCTCCAAAATTATTTCTTGAAGGAGGCCTACGTCCAAAAATGAAATACATAAGGGTCAGAAAAATACATTCTCTTCTATAAGGATTGTTTGTCTAAAAATATTGAGAAATTCATTGAAAACGAAAAGAGACGAACAAAGCCAGTTCAACTTTTTGATTATTTACCACAACAAACCCAAACTACGTTAGGGCGAAATATTAGATAAGATGATAAGCTAAAAATCAACTTAAATAACTTAAGTTTGTCAACGGGTTTGTTAAGATGGGAATAGTGAGAGCAGTAAATTTCACGTTTAAGACCCAAGGTGAGCAGAGTACAACTTAATACTAGAATTAATATGTATTCAATGAACGTTAGATACACGTGATTACGTCCTTTATGCATAGGACTAAAGGTCATAATAGTAGATTTAATCTTTGGGAATTAGTCAAACAGATAGATTATTAGATGGTGAAGTACAAGAATTGAACTGAAAAGAAATAAACCCGTCACGAGTTTGCCTGCAGCAATGCAAATGGAATACTCTCTGACTTATCAGGATGTTCTAGTGGGTACATTTTACATATAACCATACGTATAAAGGTTGGCATCCGGTGCTGATCTGCAGATCACCCCACTCAAGCGAGCCTAGGCTAAAGCAATCTGCATTAAACATATCCGACGATTTAAAACGCAAATATGTTTATGTTGACAAATGTTTGGTTTCGAATTTAAAGCCGCAACAAAACGCAATTGAATTTTAACAATGTGCGGTCTTAGTTAATATAGCGACCAACGATTGCAGTTTCTTACAAACCCGTGTGTATTTAAACAAGAAGCGCTTACAAACAGTGACTCTTTGGCACCCCAACTTTCGGCAACTGTTAATTTACAAACTTGCCCCAACAGTTCTATGTCGTTGAGATTGATGAACGTTAAGAAAAAAGTGTAAGAAGTGCTTTAATTTAAAAAATTATGCAGCCTCGTACCTGTGCAAGTTCAAAATAGCCAGCACTACAAGCTAGGCTTAGTAAGCTTTCGCCTTCTTCACTGGTCTCATGTACTGACCGACCTTCCGTTAACAGCTTTTTAACTGTACCCACATCTCCATCAGTACAAGCTTCCACAAGAGATGTTCTTTCTGGTGCTTGGATGGCAGCGCCTCCTCCTTGAGTGGCCGGTCGGGGAGAAACTGTAGGTGATAATCCTGACAAATAAAAATCGTATGATAGATTTACTGCAATTAGACAAGGTTTGCATGATGGCTTGCCTTGGGTAGATGAAGCTACAGCAACGGCGTTATCGCTACGCATTCGGGTGAGAGCGGCTGCAGCTTCATCCAAAGCACAAGAGACGCTCGATGTTAAACGGCGGAGGACCTCAGGATCGCCAAGAGCTTTGCCGTCCTTCGCCGCCAGCTGTCCTATACCTAATAGATAAGTATAAGGAAACTCGAGAATCAATAGAATTGTGTACTGAAAAACACCCACTGGATATTACGATTTGTTTTAGACTTATTAATTGCAATGGGTAAATCACCCCGAGAAAGTACTGAGATAATCGCACCACGAAGCTACATAAATTAAGCCCCGTGTCTTTAGAAAGGAATCACGTTTCGTCAGCTCGGTTCTTGGCTGCTTCATTGAGTGGTTTAACGACGTTGATTAATTTGGAGATATTCCAAAATTGTCGCTTAAGACTTATGGGCTACTCTGGTGTATTTCAGTAACAACTAAAGAAACTGATTGTATTCTCATTACATTAGCACTGACAAATTATTTGGTGACAAACAAATAATTAACGTCTAACGAATTAGAAATACCTTCGGCTATACTAATACCTGCAGCTTGAAGCAAAGCTTCAAGGCGGGCTTGGGTTTCTGGATCAACGTTCCGCTCTGTATCAGTCGCAAGCAAGAATTTCGGACCTCCTTCTTGCGTCTCGTCTTCAAATTCCTGCTCTACCATTAACGACTCTACCTGCAAATACGACCCGCATGAATCACCACTTAATAGCAGAACAGTTAACAAGGTCTACTAATCCAAGCAAATGTAACTAATCTGAGATATCAAGCACGTTTAATCTTCGTATAATAGTTTCGAAAAATTCCTGGAAATTTAGGTAAAAGAAATTTGCTTCAGGGTACATATGGCTAAACGATTATCATCAGGTAGATACTAAAATCCTTAACAATGCGTGAGCAATCGCTTTGAAATGTAACTGCTGTTCTCAGCCCAGTGGTTTGCAAGATAAAACTGAGCAATAGAGATCAACCATCAACCCAGGAAGTCCAATGTCAAGAAAGGCCAAATACGGTTCAACCCACCCTCATGCAATGATTAAACAAACGTACTTATCGTACGTATTATAGTAGGTATATTAAGTAATTATCGTCAAAGTAGTGTCGGCTATCACAAATTCCTAAGTTCGGCGACCTCGTCGGTCCAATACATTTGTGACTGGCGAATAATTTTTTATAAGCAGCCTATTTATAGAGACCTCCAGAAAAGCTCTCAGAAGATTTATTAATAACAATGTACGCGAAACAAAGAGCGGCATTCAAATTGACCTAGAATTAGAATGTAAATTGATTGTTTTTGTTTAACAAACACTAAGATGGCACATTTGACCGGTCTAGACTAGAGAAACATGCCACGGCACGCCACTGACTGCGTAAAAATGCGACTTCAAAGCCGGACACTAATAGTTTAGCATTTCCGGTTTTGCTTGATTCTTTAATTCCTTGACCCAATAATGAATGAACGCTTTTCCAACCAGCGTGTACTTTGCAGTTTCTCAAAATACACGAATTATTCAATTTTGCCATGGAAAAAACTACAATTACATGAAGCGTTATTCACCAGTTGTACTACATTTAGTTCCAGTACAAGTTGGGCCTGAAGAAAGCTGAGCAATTGTTAAATCCCACAGTGACCAACAAGCTAAGTACTTTTACCAGTAATGCACATAGAATTAGAAATCATTAACTAATTACAAGGCTTAATAGCACAAAAAGGTATTGTTTGTTGGACTGGAAATTTACTTAAATTGTATGTAGGTTTCTCAGGTTTATCAGGAATGGGAAGGAAATTGAGTATGTAAAAAAATAATCAAACCAGCAAAGTTTTCGACTTGTGGTTACTAATCAAGCCGATGCCATCCACAAAACGAGGTGATTTGAGTCTGATCTGCTTTTGCAAAGAAAAATGTGTCTCTGGTCGAACCAATCAAATCTTCAGGCTTTCAAATACAAATAAATTGAGAGAACAATGAGGAACCATGGGAGAAATTGCACAAAAAACTCTAGAATCCCACAAAACCATGTATCACCCCTCATATAGGAATTATACGAAATTAAAATTCACCAAATTGAGAATGTTTTTATTGAGCTAAGTTTAAAAGTATCTACGTTACAGGCATATTTTCTAAAATGTAAATCCATCCAACCCTGTTGATCGTCGCTTTGGCGCCAGACGTATTTCAATTTACTTGATTCAATTTAATGTATGGCATGTTATCTCGTATCCATTATAAACCTAGAATAAACAAAAATCCGTACGAATAATTCTTGGGGCAATTGACCCATCAATGTAAATATTTTGGTAAATATAGAAATCGATCAGATGTGCATTGCTGCTTTGACCGATACGTATGTATGTCCGTAGATGGAATAATAATGGATTGATTCAGCTAGTGTTTTATTTTTCACACTTCACTATGACTTTTCTTCAGTTTTTCATACTTTCAGGCCGCGGTGCAAAAGGGTGGTTCGGAGGTAGTTGCTGCGCCGAGAAAAATATCTCTGAAGATTCTTGCAGATTCAATTTCTTCTTTGGGAAACCAGTCGTCTCTCACTCGACTTCAATGCGATGCGGTGAATATTGTCGGTTTCTTTAAGTAAAATTTGATTTTTACACTTGATAGTGTAATTTTTGCAAACATGTGAGTGTGATGATGGCACTCGCAAATAAGTTTAGTGTTTAAATGCGTCAAATAAGAACAAAAATGCGCAATATAATAAAACAAAAAAACCATACAAATAGAAACAATGTACGTTACATGTACGCATTTCTGGCAATATCGTGAAACGATATTCTTCTCTCAATTGTCTCATTGCGTTTTCGCATTCACTCGAACAAGCAATTTCAATCTGTTTGATAAGAAACTGTAACCAATCGAGATGAATTGATAAAGAAACTACACCGAAACTGAATAAACGCACCGAAAAATGAAGCCCATTAAGCTGCAATAGCAAACGACTGCAAGCTAATAGTTAAAAAAAAGTTCAGAAATGAACTGCAAGAAAGGGCATCAGGTAAACAAAGAAAATAGACAAATGAAAGAAGTACACAATGACCGGAACTAGCCTGTTGGCCCACCGTGAAGAAATGTGATAAAAAAGTAAAAAGGAAATCCTGCTTTACACTCTCGTGCTCATTGGCTGATGTTCTATGGGAAGATACAGCTGAGGATCGTTAATAACTTGCCCATCCACGCTCAAAGCAAACAAATGAAATAACCAATAATCATTTTTTTATATTTAATCGTTTAAAGCGTTAAATTAGATTTACAAACTAAATCTAGCTGGGTCGGCAACAACCGGTGTGCTATGAGGTGACAATATTTAAATATAATATGGGTTACGAAGGAATGAAGGTGGCACTTTTCAACATTTTAAATTCCGATTATATGTGTCGACAATCCATAAGGAGGCCATAGATGAAAAGCCCCAGACGGCGGAAAAATTTGTCTCACGCTTTTTGGCAGAGAGGTAATTATTATCGTTCTTTTTCGGAGAAGGAAATTTGATGGTATTAACGTATGTCTTTCATCAAATTATTACAATTCGCAGAAGTATGAAAAATTATTGATTTGACTTCTTGGCAAGTGTTGGCAGTTTCTGTGAATTTTTCCCAGTTAGCAGTTCAATTTACCGCTATGCAATATTGTGAGGGCAAACATCGGTTCATTTTGCTCATATTTTCACCACCATCGCTTAGATCTAAGTTTGAGTATTTATGAGTATGAGTTTCTCATTTTTTATTCATAATTTGCCTGCAGGTGCAACCACCACGAAATAACACACTTTAACGTTCACAGTTAACAACAAGCAATATACTAATAACAAATGTTTATTTGATCTTCAACGAAAAATCAAGAAAGTTTTTAAAATATATAAACCCGCGATTTAACAATAATATCTTCAAATCCCCAGGAATAAACGCTGAAGCTGGCAATATGAAAGAACATCTCCCAGGCATGAGTAATTTTCAATATGACGCCTCAAATAATGACGTCACTGTCAAACAGCTTGCGCCAAATATGACTTAATTGCTTAATAATAATATATTGTCGAAATACAATATTTATGTGCCAAAAATCGTATTAAAGCTATTTGGGTTAGTTTCGGTTCATTTTGTTGAATGGCTGTTGTGTTTTGAATAACTTGAAGCAACTGTTACCTTTAAAACGGGAATTTGGCAACAGATTATAAGGTATAAAAATGGTGAAAAAAGCACCAATAAGAAAAGTCGTTACTAAAGAGATTGTCTATGAGGTCAGCAAATAGCTAACTTAGAACGCGGCGGTCTGATAAGCCAGAAAATTACCGAAATTTTCTCGATCGAATCTGTCACCTTATCGAAAACAGTTTGCAATTTAAGATCAAATTTTTAAACTGAACATACCCCACAAAAAAAATTTCTTTGGCAAATGTCCATTCATCTTAGAACCTTTAAATAGGGTTTCTACTAAATTGTTTTTTTGCGTTGAATATTCAGGCACAACCAAATTATGTTTAGAAAAGCTCCTTTTGCGCTTCTCCATGCCCTTGAAGAAAGAACCCCTTAAAAAGCGAAACGCCAACAGGTTATCCGGTCTTTTGTTACCACATGAAAAAGTTTCGAAAACGAAAACGTATTTCCACAAGAAACACCATTCAGAAGCATTTAGTAAAGAACTTATCTATCGGGTGAGCATATTACTAACTTCGAACGCGAGGATCTCATAGACTGGAATTACTTAAGAATGGGAGAAATGAAGTTTCACATGCTCACTTTCCAATGGTTGCAGTTACGAATGTTCCACTTTAAATAAGTTATTTGCAGAACAATAATCTGCAACTTTAGTTTGTGACTCTTTGTGATAAGATCGCTGATTGAAGATATCTTGGCTGCGTTTGAAACTTGTGCGTAGATTTCATTCAATTCAATTTCAGTTGAGAAAGTCCTTTCATTTAAACAGCCATATCTCGAAACGGAACGTTTCCGAACAAATATTGATCGTCCGTTGCCTTTGAGTTCCAAAAATGTGATAAAACTGTTGATTGTCAAAGCGTACTACAAAAATAATTATAAACAATTTAAGCACTAACTACCCATTAAATATTAGTAGCTGGGGCAGACAAACCTAACCTCAAAAAAATAAAATACCGTGACCACATGCCTTACAAGTGAAAACTGGCACTGATCCCAGTTAAATTCGAATTTGAGAGAGGCCGAGCCAAAATAAAATAATCTGTTTATCATCTCATTGCAGCTGGGCATATGTAGATACAGAAATTATCAACAAAAATACTGATTTTGACAACAAAGGTGCTGGAAGAATGGTGAAAGATGAATGAAACACAAGTTAGCTAAACAATGGGCGGGTGAAAGTAAAAAAATGTTATGGATGTAAAGATCAATAGCAAGTCGCTTATTCTTGGAAAAATACAGCAAAATAGTGTGGTAATGGAATTTCCGTCGCTCTACCACCCATTTAGTCGGTCTGCCAACAAAATGGATTCAAAATAGTTGGTCGAGCAACCATTGGACAGACATGGAAAAAATCATGGTACAATGGCCTACCGCGCTGAAAATAATCCGCAAATTACACGGCTAGACCGATTAATTTCGGTATTCACGAACGTTTCGAAACGAACTTGATTATTTATAAAAGCGAATGATTGCAAATAAGACGATGTAGAAACGTCAAGAAATTAACGGATCGAGCAAGTCCGACGTCCATTTTTTGCAAAAAAGAGTACAAAAACTACCAACAACGCAATAGTGAGCGAGATTGCTGGAAATCAGGGTGGTCTGGATCAGTCGGCTGATGCAAAGTTAACAACAACGTGACGTGTGCCTGGCTGGATCACCCAAATTAACTGGGAAAACTTCCGACGACCCGACAATGGTCGATCGCGAGAATTACTTATATAAGTAGAAACACTAGAATCGAATAAGCAACGACTATAAGCTATGAAAAACGTAGCTTAAAAGCGATGGGCGACCGACAGTGAATGCACAAGATGTCTCTCAGCCATAAGTTCATTGATACCCAAGGCCTGGAGAGAGTGCACGAGCGGAATGCAAGTCTAAAGGAAAACCTTACTATTATCCTACCTCAGAGACAGAATCCTCTTCACTTTCCGATGTCTCCGACATGAATCTGGGATTTTCCGAATAAGTTTCCGTTTCAGATTTCGTCGGTGTCGAGTTTGTCGATTGGGGAGTAGACAAAATGTTCCCTAAATCGTGCTGCACATTCACTCTTTCTAATCTCGAATCGTCGGCGCCCTTATCTTGCGGTACATTCTGCATATTTACATCGCAATTACTACAATCCATTCACGTTTTGTTCAATACTTTTGGGCTAAAATCACTGTACAGCCGCTGATTCTACTTAACTTCGATTCACATTAATTTCAACGCGGACGCCATTTTCTACTATGGCGGACACAAAACCGAAGTTCCGTATATTAGTTCCCACGCCGCCGCGACATCTTTGGCAGGAATTTGGCGAATTTTACACATTGACCTTTCGATAGCAAAAAACGCGAGTTATTCCTCAGATGGCGCCACTTTAGTCCACAAAAAAATTGCCACGCATTTCATCAATAGTTTAATAATCTTATTACTGGACAATGCGCATCTCAAATTAAGTAACTTTGCAACCTACAGCACTTGTTTAGTTGAATGCTGTGGCCGCAAATTTTATCACATTTGAAATAAACTAATTACTGAAATTTACAATACAACGGCAACTCATAATACATAATACAATTGACACCCACGTTGCCATTTTCAGACACGTGCTACGAAAATTTGCTAAAAATCAATCGCCTCTTTCAAACGACTTCAGTTCGGCCGGTTCTAGATGGCGCAACACACCTAAAGCCGTAAAATGAACATAGCAGTGCAGATAGTTTTCTCTAAATGCAATTTTTTATACAGGGTGATTCAAAATTGGCAGGATTCCTCTGGGGGTGTATAAGGAGAACAGTAAAAGTAATAAAAAATAATAAAATTCTGATTAAAAACTAAGAGTTTTGCAAAAAACTAAATCAGAAATTCGGCAACAGTGTCTTTCAAGATAATAGGACTGATCAACATTACGTAGGTACAGGTAGGCCTAGACTTTTTGATTTTCAACTGTTAATATCTTTTTTTTAATAATTTTCTCGGATTTTCTAAGTGAGCCCTTGCCACATCTTAAAAGGAAAGACGCCAATTTTAAATCACTCTGTATACAGGTTAAATCTAACGTAGCAATTCTAAAACTGGATAATTATGCAAAATTTGTCATTAATTTTATCGTCGCAATTAAGGCTGAGCAAACGGCCGAAAAATGCAGCGTTCAAATAAAGAGTCCAGCTTAGCCCACCCTGTATATCAACCAGTTTTGGTCAATGCAATAAGAAAAAAGAAACTGCTAATCTTTAACAAGAAAAAAGTTTCAATGAAAACACTTTCACTGCTGGCCAGGTCAAACAAACACAGCCAATCGCAATAACAAAACACGAAATAGAACACATAGTAAAACTTCAAAATGAGGATGAGACTAAAACCGTTAAAAGCGTAAAGGAAAATAACATAACAATAACTTTCAAGGAAACGAAAGAAAAGGGAAAAGACAGCGGCAACCGCAGGTAAAAGCTCTTATTTAGAGAGCCGGTGCAGCTGCAAATTTTCAGTTGGCATTGCGGGATAGAGCTTTAAAGTGAGCACTTTTTTATATAAAACATCATTGTACGAATTTTTGCTAGTTTTCAAGCAAAATTCAAAAGTTCAAAATTAATGCGGAGTGTGAGATCCGCGCTGTTTAGCTCATATGTATATAGAGAACCGGTTAAGCTACGAAGCTCTGGTTGTCATAGCGCAATAGGGCCTTAAATTGTACACTATTTAAAAACAAACACCTAAAATTGGAAATTCAAATTCTTGTCTGATCAAACTGAATTCTCTCTGATCAAACCCGATACTAAAAACGTTCATACAGCAAAACAATGCAGTATAAATATCCCAAGTTCTCAACTTATGTACTGAAAGTTATAGCTAACCACTAAGATACCTTTAATTTTCCTTTTCTTATTGTTGTCGCAATACTGCCGCCCAGTACAGAAAAGCTGTAATTGTATCTCGCCGCGCACTATTTTTAAGTATTGCATTCCGTAACGAATCACCGCGCTTTAACTAAATCTCCACCTCTATCCAAACCTGCAAAAAATCAATAAAATTGTACCGCAAAACATCTAAATTGAAACGTCCTCTCGATAACTCTGTATAAATTATTTATTCTCCACTACAATGAAGAGTTAGCAGGCTCAACATTGCAATAGAAGTGCAATCGAAAAAGGAAAGTTAAGTCTGTATAATTAATTACGATTGGCTCCAACGACGGCTGTTTTATACAAATGCGTCGATGCTAAATTCTACAGCCGAACAGGGGTTGGTTAGTTCAAATTTAGATAATACATCCGGGTGTAAAACGCCGATTTTTCCTATAGGCGATCCGTTGTAAATGATTTCCGCACAACGACCTGGGAAATAGGCTGGATCTACAATGAATAATCAATATGAGTAGTAGAAGGGTGGTTTCTTAGCACGCCTTACCATTGGTTGCTGCCAAGTAGTAGCCGATATTGCTTCGGGCTTGAGACCAAGGCACTTCTAAAAGTAGCATGATTCTATCTAAGAGCCCATGAACGACCTCAAAGCCGGCGTTTTTGTTGCAGTTAACTGCACAAATTCTCCTTTCGTTTCGGGCTCCCACTTCTATAAAAAAAACATCCCAGTGGTCAACGAATCATACGCGGCTTATACATTAGACTAGCTACGAAGCTTAGAAAGTGCATAACAGACAATGAGACATTATTGCGTTTAAAGAGCGGTGAACAGAGAGATGAAAAGCCAACGAAAAAACAGAACATTTGCGATTTCATGCGCGTATGGGGTGAAACGGAAGCAATATTAACTTTAACGAATCATCAGAGAACATAATGGCATTCTTACTCTTATAGTCATCGTCAGTCATTCTTTGGCAATAATCTCTCTTGGCCACTATCACGCTCTTTGCAACCAAATGTCTGAACTCTTTGTAACGCTTATAATCCCTTTCAAGCCCAGTTTTTTTGTATTTGAAATAGAAACGCTGTCTCTTTCGAGTTAAGTCGAATAGATCTTCAGTGAACCAAGGCTTTCCAAGCAACCTCCCTTTGTACATGCGCTGGTGAACATCTTCAACAATTAGATATGCGATAAAAACAACAACAAAGCTAAAAATAATGTTACAGTAAATAAAAGCACGTGCAAATAAGTAAAGTTTGATTATCATAAATGTGAAATGTTAAAGCTAGTAATTTTCATTGAATTAATTTTTTGATTGACTGATTTGATTCTGAATATTCAAGGTCTGAAATGCTGAATCAATTGGATAGTTCAATTTGGGAAATATTTTTTTGTAAGTTGAAAGTTGAATTTCCTTGTCTTAACTGAACTAATTTCTGAACTTAGCATAGAACAGGAAAGTGTGGCCCTTTTTACATAAAACATCATTGTGCAAATGTTTCTAGTTTTCACACAAAATGCGAAAGTTCAAAATTAATGCTGATATTGAAAAGCGCACTTAGTCCTTGACTCACATTTAGAGAACCGGTTGCCATTGCGGAATAGAGCTTTAAAGTGTGCACTATTTTATATAAAATATAATTTTGGAAATGTTTTTAGTTTTCTCGCGAAATGCAAAAATTCAAAATAAATGCGATTTTTAAAAACCGCTGTTACTCTCTATCTTAAATTTAACAAACAGGAGAAGCAGCAGCAAACTTCTCGTCGTCGTTGCAGAATACAGCATTAAATTGCGCAGTTTCTTACATAAACCATCATTGTTTGATTTTTTCTTTTTATAAATAGACTAGATTTGTTTTTTTCTCGATAATAAACTGCCAAAAAAAAAACCGTCAATAACGATAACCTGCCTGTAAACCTTCTTAGCCGAGACTAGCTAGTGCTGACTTAAATCGTCGATATCTCCAATTTCCTTTTTGTCCCTTTTATCAAAGAAAGGCAGTAAAAACATTTTTTTTTAAGTTCCGTGCGTTAAAAAATACACCGTATTTTCCCAATAAAGTATTTTTAATTTCTCATTAGAATTTACCTGAAAATAACGACTTTTATCACCATCATATTGCCACTGACTAACTTGACCTGCTCGTAATAAGACGTGGCATTTTAGAGAATCATATGCAACCCTGATGGTGTTAAGTTTAATAACATTACTTTAAATAAACTCAAAACTTCCACATGCATTTCATTCCTTCCTCATCAATGAAATTTGAAATTGAAATTGAAATTCCATATTCCAGATCTTACCTGTTTGCGCGTCTTTCAAAACCACATCAGCGACCTCAAAGATCTTGAGCGGCAATGGCATTTTCTTGTTGGCTGCAATCGTTTTTAGAATGCCTGGAAGTAGTGTCGTTCGGCAAACTTGAAATTCCAGAGTCTTCGGATTGGAAATATGCACGGCAGGCACTTTGTCAATTGAATCTATACCCAATTTTGTCGAAATATCGTCCCGAGAACACTAAATTATATGAAAAAACAGTGGAATTAGTACAGATCTGTAGTGCACAAAGCTGATCAAACTAAACATGCGGGATGTAATAAGAACGATGAAAACTTACCAGCGCAAAGGTAAGAGCTTCAGTAAAACCAGCCTCTGCAATGGGATATCTTAGCAAATCAGAGAGCTTGTTTATGGGGAGTTGTTCTCCTATAGTGTTAGTGTTTGGCAACGTCCTAAATTAAAATGTATGTCGGCACAGAATAATAAAACCATGCATTTATTCTACCTGGTAATATTGTTGTATCCATAAGCAATGGCAACATCTTCATATATATCGCACGCGTGAATAACATCATGCCTTGTCGGTGGCACTGTTACTTTGATGTTTTTGCTATCAGACTGCAGCTCTGATTTAAGACACATCTTTGAAAGAAGATTGGTAATGTTCGTGCTACTTTCACTAAAAAAAACCGTTGGTAAATATCTCCTTGTTCTACTAATACTGAAAATTAGAGCCTACCTAATTCCAATCAGCTTGTTGGCTCGATGCACAGATATTACTTCAGTTCTGTAACCGAGTTCTGGGCACATTTCAGTTGTTCCATTGGGATAAACCACTTCTACATATTCGGAAGTGTATTTTTCTGAACAATATTCACTAAACATGCAGACTATAGTGTCAAGGACAATTTTCGCCTGCAAAAGAAGATTAAAATTCACATTATTTCACATGCAAAATATTTAAATTACAAACCTTAGTCAAATCAGTGGCAGTGCATTCAATGAAAACATTTTTCGTTTCCAGCGTAATTTTCGAGTGGTTTCCATTAATGATGGGGGGTAGTGAGAGCACGACCCCATTACTATCAAAAATCACTGGATACACAGGGCTGTCTTTAATAATCGATAGGTACTGCTTAAGTTGGGCGTGGGTCTTTAAAAAATTAAAGCAAAAGTAAGTGGGCAATGTTATGTTTTACCTAGTACAACTTACTGAGTAAAGGGTCATTAAGTCAGCAGCAGTAAATTCCTTAGTTTGGTTCAAAGGAACAAACTTGATGTCGCTGGGAGGCTTCGCATCATAAATAAAGGGGCCTTTGATAGTGTCGTAGTCATGAGTGCCAATGGCGACTAGCGACCTTTTCCTGCATATATTCTGGTGCAGTTTGTCTTGCAAATCAATGAAGCTATTGTAAGAATCTTGAGTGAAACTCAAGTTTCGTAAAATAGCAGCCACGACAAATGGTCTAATTTTTTCAGTGTCCGGCTTCACTACCAGTTTCTCCACACTGCCATCGGTTAGCTTGATTACTTTATATTGAGGGGGAGGAATTCTATGGGAAGCAAATTAAACTGCAACAATTATATGCTACAGCTGGTGAAGGCTACTTACATTCCCTGGAATATTTTGAGGCCGAGCACCAATCCTTCCAGACATAATAAATCATAGCGATTCGCTGGTATGTCCACTCTATAAATTACGTCTTCAGATAATCCGGCCGATAGTTGGGAATCACCCTGCTCTTTGGTGAGCATCTGCTTTTCGGTGGTCTGAAATGGGAATTTCAATGCTGAATTTATGACAACGTTCATAAAAAATGGTGTTATTGCAATGCGTTTTTGTTGCAACTTTCACGATTCTTGGCAAAAATTTTGAAGATTGTACGACTGGCTTCTTTAGATGTGCCGATATAGTGGTGAGGTTACCGACATGTTTGCGTTTTAGCCCATAAAACATTGCTAGTTTCGCTCAACAGCTTATACTCGATTGGAAGTTTTTAAACAGGATACTCTGAGGATACAATTTATTTTATTAACAGGAGAATGCATTATTTTCTTTAGAGTCCTTTAGAATTGAAGCTGTAAATTCTTCACTTGCTAAGCGGATACTTACAACTTCATCCAGCTCTAAACCAAACTCGAAGCACACTTTTTGGAACTCGTCATCCGCTGAAACATTTAAGGAAATTAATAAGGATTTGAGCTGAAAACCTATGGGGAAACGCACTGTAAGTTTTTCCTAGTGCCTGGAACAGTAGGTCCCGCTTAATTCCTATAGTTGGCATAGTGCTGCAGTGTGAAAACAGGAGATTTATTGGAAAATATGTCCTGGTTGTAAGCAGAAAGCAAATTTCTTCAGAAGTCTCAGTGTCCAGAACTTGAGGTTACAACGGCTAATCTTCTCGACTTTCGTCAAATGAGCATAACCTGACAACACCGCAAAAACTTAAATCAAGTGAATAGTTTTTTTAATGTTTTCCTTGTTACTCACAAAACAAGGAAAAAAAGCCAGCAAATTACTTTCCAAAACTTTTATTAAATATTTAGAGATACCAACACTGCATTAAACTAACAAAAAAAGAGTACTAATAAAAATGAATATGCATAAAACCAAAATGCAAATATATTAAAAATAACATATTTGCGGTTGATATTGAACTGCACACTAATAGCCTGGCGCCCGGCACTGGTATAGTCTTAAGAAACACCAAGATCAGTCTTAAAGAACTGGCACCTCCAAACAGAATTAACGCCATGAAAAAAAATGTATTGCTTTTTTCATGAAAAAACATAAACGATGTCAATAAAGTAAAAAGGTGGCCATACAACGAATATCCTACGAGTGAAAGGGTTTCGTAAAAGTTAATAGTTGACTTGCCTAACTTAGCCATTAGAAAGCAAAATGTTGGCATACACGCTGCATAAATCAACATTGACTCTGCTGGCGTCATTCCCAGTTTATTCTTTTTGAACGAGTATCCGTACATTAAAAGAAATAGTAAGGAGAAAAACGCTAAAATTGGACCCAAAAGGTCCACGTAAATTTTCCGATATTTCAGAGTGAAAGGAGGTACAAATGAGGCAAAAATCCTAAAAACCAAGTTCTCTGGTCTCACTAAAAATAGCCTAGAGTAAGTTTTCAATTGCCAAGATTTTTTTGATGGCAGCTCTGGCGATCCAATAAAGATCACTGATGATGCCATGTTTATTTGAACTAAGATTTTTAGGCACAAGGGAAAATTTACTTAACTCCGATAAGCTACTGTTTCATTTTCCGTTGAATGTTCTCCTGGGCCTGCTTCACTTGCTTCTGAAAATTGTTGGATATATCTCTCATTAAAGCCCTGAACTGATCTGGTGTTAATTTCTCATGCAATCTGTTCTCTTCTATAAAGTTTCTCCCAGTAAACATAGCCCTCACTACTATTTGTGCTGCCTTCCTCATAGGATAGGACTCACTCAGTTTCTGCACTAGATGTTCATTGTTAGCCAACAGTCTTATTATAAAGCGAAATACCATGCTGTGGATATGCTGAGCTTTTACGTGCTTAGAAGACTAAGGCTTGTGGAACGGGGAAACAAAACGGTGCCTTTGCAGGAGATCCTGCTTAAGACGCAATTGCGTCTTGAGAGCCTCCAAGTGGTTAAGCTGTTCCTCCTTGCTGAATTGAATACCGGGAAGCAAATTAACCTAAAATATCAAACACATAAAACAATGATTTGAGGGGGTTATTTTTAATTACCTCTGCTCTCGCCTGGTCCAGTCGCTTCTGCAATTCCAACACCTTCTGACTGCAATCTTGTGACTCTCTGGTCTTGGCACTGTTGTCGTGATGGTCTTTCTCAATGCTACATTAATAAAACAATTTAGATATCGGATTTAGGCTTCATCCAAATGCTTATTACCGACTTATGCAACATTTACCACTAAATGCGTCAAACTAAACAGGCTTTTTGTTTTTGTCAGCACTAATACCTAACCTTACAAATCTTACCTGCAAAAGATTTCGTAAATCACTGGAACGATATCAAAGTTAAATTCTTCTAGACCGACCGAAAGCTTAGCTTCTTGAGATTGATTATCAGAATCCATGTTTAAACAGCATTTCTTTGCTATATTTTTCGGTTTAGTATTTTCCCATTGTCAAGTTTGCTAATGACGTCTGTCCAGAAGATCTTCTTTTACATGGAAGTTTGTTGAGAACCTCTCCTAGCGCCTATGCAGGCTATGTACCGACATCTTTGTAGCCAAACAATTCAATATATTTTCCAAATAAATTTCAAATATTTTTCCGTAAAGGAATATGGGGAATTTTCCATTCAAATTAAAATAAAGTTTTTATTACAAAAAAAATCGTTTTAAACAGCTCTCACTCTGCAGCCGAGCGGGAAATTAAAAATGTAAGTTAAACACTAAACTATAAACTATTAACGTAAATAATAATATATTATAATTATTTTGTCCGTATCCTATTAATATGCTATTGAGAATCACTTGATGAGCTGCTGCTTGAATCCGTTGACATAACTTCAACATCTTCAGTCTCCTGCTTGTGATTTCGCGTGTCCATCGCTACTGTGCCTTGCCCTACACTGATGTGGATTTCTCCAGATGGATGCCAGGCGAATTGGTTCTGATTAGACGCCGGAACTTCTGGGAAAAATTTAGTTAACATTGACTGTCGCACTAAAGTACCAATTTAATGAATACTTTCCAGTTGATAAAAATTCGCGCAAAAACTATAAAAAGTAGGTATTTTTCATCAAGTAGATACGGAAACGCAGTTCTCGAGACCCCTTTTTTCAACCATGTATGTAACTTATTAATAAAACCTCGCCATTTCTGATAATGCTTCATAATCAAAAAGATTATCTTGATTTATCCGATAATTTCAGTCGTTTCTGACATTTTCAAAGCTCTTTTTCTTCTGTAGTTAAATTTGCATTATTCAGCAGAAACATAACTTCTGGGGTTTCGTTGAGGCAAAGCCCTGTTCTATTTTGCAAGTCCGATATAAACATTATCTTTTGAGTCGCGCCCTAAATCTGCTGAAGCATCAGCAGGGTATTTTTAAAATTGCACTCAGACACATACAACAGAAAAATATTGGGTTTTCTCGAAGTTTTGTTAACAAAATTTGCCGAGTTTCTGACACGGTTATAACGAAAATTATAGAAACTTAGACGCCCTTTTCTATGAAACAAACACTCGACAACCGAATTGGACCTATGGACGGTCAACCGCTCGTTTATGCATGAAAAACTTGACTAAAAGCAATATAGTCGTCTAGGAAAAGTTCACAAATAAAATCGTGATAATCTGGAACTTTTTATCGGTTTGAGTCTTACCTCCGGCAGGGCCAGATCGATGTAAATCACTCATAGAGGACTGTTGTTGTAAAATATGTCCATTCACTGGATCACTCAGCCTTCCCAACGTTCCCAGCCTCATTTCTATATCAGTTGGATATGGTCTTCGTGGATCACCTTGTTGCCATGTTAAAGGGGCACACACTGCATTGGAAGCACTAATTCTGCAAAAAAAAATCGTTTCTGCTCTGCTATTTCAATGCATTTTATGGAATTAATTTATATTCTGGTATAATGGATGCAAATGTTAGGCATACCTATGGGCGAATTTGATCAATTCCTCAGAAGACACTGGCCGCTTTTTCGCCAAAGCAATGCTTTGGAGCTTCTGATTGGCTTGATAGATTGCTGTCGACAATATTTGCTCAGCTTCTTTGAGCTGCTTTTGCAATTTACTGATTTCCTGATCTTGCTTTTCCACTTCAGCCTTTACGACCTCGATCTTTTTGTTTATTTGTCCCTAAAAGACCGATTCTATTGTTAAACCGTCTTCATTATCAAATTAGCATTCTTCAATTTGTTTATTTTTACCAGACTTTAATAGTGTAGCAAAGAATAATTGGCACTTACTTGCTCGTAGGCTAGTTTCAAAGTGTCTTTTAATTCGGTATCTTTTGCCACCAATAACTCTGTCAGTTGAGCATATTCCTGTCCGGAGATTTTGTTAGCTTTTGGGGCGATAGCGTTCTCAATTAATTCCCTACGAAAGTACTTTTTTATAGAAATAACATACAAGCTTGAATTAAACTTACTTGGCAATTAACTCGATGTCATCAATAATGTTCAGAAGCTTCTGCTTGGTGCTTAGTTGAGACATTTCTGCTCAATTCTTTATGTGTGAAAACTTTGAGAATTCTGCTAGTGCCTTTAGGGGAGTAATAATATTGCAAAAGTGGCTCGAAGACAATCTGGAAATGTATTCTTTTCTTAACCTAAAACTTATAATTGGAACCGTCAATCAACGAGAGAAGTCAATTGAAGCTGGAGCCCTCCTATAATACTTGGCAACGTGGCATGTGACAAAGAAATCACCCAAAACTGAAAATTAACATGAAATCTAAAATATATAATTAGTATTTTAATCAGCAATTTTTATTCTATAGAAAATAACCGATTTTAATAACTCAGAGAATAATGATGCAAAAAGTACTACTTAAGTACACTGTGGTTTTTATGTACAAGGCAGCAATTTGTTGTTAATTTTAAAAAAATTAAAAATGTTGATGAAAAAATCAAATCGAAAATAAAGTAAAAAGATCGGACTTCTTCTAGCTTATCAGGCCCACGCGTTTTGAGTTCACGTTGTTTTGAATACACGCGTGCAAAAAAATTTCTGCAAAACGTATTTGCCTTAGACCTTTAGGGAAGCGGCGAATCAATGTTTCCCATTTTACAGCAGGTTGTTAGTATTAATCACCAATTAATCGTAATTAGGACGACATTCTCCATTAAAATGTATTTTCCGATTGGAATATACACCTACTTCGCAGTTCTGTTTACAAAATTTCCTTAAAACTTTGCATTGCCTTTTCAGGAACCTCCTTAAAAGAGCGCAACGCAAAATTTGTCTCCTATTGGCCATCACTAAGCCCCCATTTATCACCATCACACATTGATTGTGGTTGGGACTGGCTTAACCAATCGCTAGCAAACTCCTCCTGTACTGTTACCTAACATGTGAAAAGATTTGGATGAAAATAAAACGCCCATCGCCCACAACGTCACAAAAATACTGATAATTCAGTATACACTTTTTCATGGAGGAATTGGGAGGCTGAAATAACCGTTATTTTGTTATAAGCAATTAAATATTAAATTCAATATGTATTAAATGATAATTAAGTCTACGAGCGAGCATTTTCTTTGGGGTTTTAGCTCGCTAATTTTTATGTTATGTTTAGTAAAAAACCGTACTGTTTCTTGAAAAAACGATTTTAAATTGTCTGCGTAACGAAAAAGTTCGTTCTGATTAATATTGATGCTCCAGTATGTTACCATAATTTTTACAATTTTTTTTTCTATTTTTCATAAAGATTTATATAAATTTTTAATTTATCAGACCCTGGAGTTCAAAGTTATCAATGCCCGAAATTATAAATAATGCCATTGTTTTAGCACGTAGATAGTGAATTTTCCTGATTGAAAACTTATCAAATACCGCATTTCCACATGAAATCACTAAAAGAAACGTTTGTAGTAAAGAAATCATTTGTAAGGTAAGCATTTGCTAAATTCAAAGGCGGGGACTGATTTCAATACCTTGAAAATTATCAAAACAGCAAATATTTGTTTTCAAAATATAATTTATTACGAATAAAAGTATCTAATAAAAGAGAATCGTTGGTTCTTAATCTAAGTCTAAATTAATGTACAAAAAATATACTTAGATAAAACAATCTCTTGTCCAGAAGTTACAGATATGCATAGGTCTTATCAAACATGGCTAAAGGAGGGTTTTCTTAATTTATTTGGCATATGTTTCTAATCTAATCCAAACCCAACATCCAAGCATTGATTCCACAATGATATTAATCCCAAATAGTTATTATTAAAGTGCAACAAATTTTTGTTAGTATTGTTTATTTTTGTTAAGTATGTAAAAACATACAAACAATTTCGCAGTTTTCATGGAATGGTTCAAATATGTTTTATCGTAAAATTGAAAAGTGTTTTTCATTGATTTTCTGAATATTAGTCAAATCAATACTTGGACATGTGATGTAGGTTTAAATCTGATCGGCACAACCATGCTTTTGTGTTTGTGCATTTATTATTTATTTAATTTTTATATTCATTCAAATTAGCGCACATTCTTGAGAGATTCAAGCCCTTGACCAGCCCAAACTTTCAATCATCTAAAGAATTCGCGACATAGTCTAATTTCAGATATGTAGATGACACAGGATTTTTCTTCTATTCATTTTAAATTTTCTTCAATTTACTCTGATTTAGGCTTCAAAAGTCTAAACTAATCAGCCGACTTAGTGGGGGATTTCTCACCAAAAAAAAACTTGCAAAAAGTACGCAAATCAACTTACATCTATGACAGAATATTCGGGATGAGGAACGTGGACATACATTTAGGAATACATATTCATTGATAACTGTATCTTTCTAGCTACTGTTCCTCTTTGTACCATTCGCACTTCGAATTTGATCCAGATACTGGACAAATAAACTCTTGGATAGGGTAAAATATATGGGCAAGAGAAATTTAGAGCAGTCGCTCGCATTCCTCACTGATGACTGTGTCATCGTCCTCATCCGAATCGTCGGTGCAAATGTCGTCATCGTCAGACCAATGTTCGAACTCCTCTTTGTGGTGCTCTAAAGCCATTAGTGAGGGAAATAGAGAATCGCAAGCCGAACATCTGGAATAAACGAGTCATGATGAGATTTTCAAAATAATTTTTTTGCGTTCATTTACACAAACTCTACAAATATATATTGGTTTGCAATCATTCCTAATAGCAGTTTAAACAGAAAGTGATGCCAATTTAGTAATAGGAGTGAGAAGTTATTAAACGACGCCAGACTGTTTGAGGAACTTTAGGAGCGGAACAGAACTTTGCCAATTTCCCGATAGATAATGTCTACATCGATGGCAAGATCGTCCTTATAATGTTACTTGACAAGATTAGCGGCCAAATCCATCGAAGCTTCTTGGATTATGTCGTCAATCACTCATCTCACACATGCCCAAATAAAATCCAATTTTATTATAAAATAATGCCGATAAAGTTTAATAAAACGAACACGCCGAAAACGAGGTCGGAACTAACTAAAACATTTAATTGCTTTCAGAACATTTTAATCACCACTCCAGGCGTTTGAAGGGGCAATTCCACAAAAACAAAACGAATTTTGGCTTCAGCTTGTTAATGAACAACATCTATAGGTTTTCAACTTAGATTTGAATAAATCCGGATAAATTTCGCCTTATAAACTTTGAAATACATACATCAAATGCCATCAATTATCACAGATTACCCTCAACTTGGAATTGTGGCAATCCATCAATTAGATCAGAGCTGTTGGGGTGATTAGGAAAAATATTATTAGACATTTTCCATTCAGAAGAAACCCATTTAATCACTAATTAGTTCTCCAAGTTCTGGCATGTTCAATTTGATCCAGTATTATAAAATTGAATTATCTTCTTAAAAGTTAACTAGGTGGCTGGAAACCTCCTAAATATTCCACGAAAGCTACACCGGGAAACTTTTGCCGAAAAACTTTGCCCCTAGTTGCGATCGCAGAAAGATCCGGATCTTGTAAATTTTTAACAAGTTTCCTGATACTTTTCAGCAAGTTTATTTCACAGCTTCTCTTTCCTCTCTTTTAAGATTTGTTTAGTTGATATTGTCAAACCTTGATGTTCACCTGATTTGATGAGCTCCCAAGATTACCTATATAACTGGAATCAATTTAACCAATAAATTTTCTAATAGTTATGCAAAAATTGCATGTTTTCCATCCCGTTCTTGCCCATTTCTCGCAGGCAAAATGAGCAAGAATGCTCATTTTTACATCATTCCACAGAGCCCTAATAAATGGCCTTTTTAGAAAGTAGAGATTAGATAGTAGAGAGAAATTAAGTTTTAATGAAAAAAATACATTTCAGAACATCAAAATTTGAAAACGAACAGAAATGAAACTAGAAACAAGTTTCACAGAAAGACCAAACTTTTGAGGCATTTGCCAAGGTTTCAAGATTCACTTACCCAAAATGTCGCTTCTTCTGTTTGTGCGCCGACAATTGTTTGGGGCATGAGAATGTTCGGTCGCACACATTGCAAGTGAGGGCTTCTTCTGGAATAAAAATCAGTTTATTACATTTATTGGTTCCGAAACGGGTGCAAATACATTATAATTTAAATTATACAAAAACAACGAGTTAATAAACCCTCGAAGAGTCTTTCATTATTGCAACTGAATAGCGCTGAATAATTAAATCGGGCGAAATTAATGGGGCTCCACAGTAACAATGGGCCCATTTCAATATAACTAACTCATTCGTATATTGGCATATATAAAACGCATTTAAATGAATAAAATCCGGTGCTAAGCTCTGTAAATGTGTCCCTTCGGGTGGGAGCATGTTATTTTGGATATATAAAATGATATGGAAATCACATCAGCAAATTTATGTTTTAGCGTACGAAACCATAGGGAATTCAATAAATTTAATAACCCCGAGGAAAATTTGTTTTCATTTGAAATTACAAACAAGATGAATAAAAATCACTAAAATACAAGCTCTTTCACTGGGAAGTTTAAGTACGGTTTAAATGGTGGTTTTCACTGTTGTTGCAGAAAACAAATACTTCCGGCATTGTGCTACTTCCGAAATCCAACAATTAGTTGTGGTTGGTTTCAGGAAAACTTTCCCGCTCCATAAATGAATCCCGGAAACTTCGAACAAAACCACATTTTAAACGGCGAGCACACAAAGTTTCATACTATGGCTATGAATGCCTCGAAATAATGGAAGTATGAATAATGCAAGAATATTTGTGTTAAGGCCCAACTAAGACCGAACGTTAGTTAAGACCTCGCTATTACGTTCGATTTCCCCAGCTTCGCCCTATATGTTCTTTAATCTCTAGATATATTGGTTAAGCAATTGAGGCTATGGCCATCAATTCTCATTGGATCGGCCATTAATTATAAATAGCGTTTTGAGATGGGATTGCGTGATAAATTATAGGCAACATACGATTTATCTTTTGTGTTTGTATTTGCAGCAAGAACAAACTGTTTGAATACCTATACGCAACTTTATTGTACCAAACATTTAAGACGCTTACGGCAAATCCGTGCAAGTGACAAATAACTAATACCGACGCTCCAACTTATTGCAACTAAGTTGAAGTTCTCGTTAGTTAAACTTTCCGGATCAAATTAACAAACCAGTTACCGAACAATATTCACACGATTCCCACTTGTTTCTCAGGCATGACACAAAGTTTCAAACAGCTGAAAACTAGCGAACTTTAATTGTTAATCAGCAAAGTATTGAAACATGTTCTGTATAATAAAGTCAGCGTTTCATTTTTTGCTTAATTAATTAATCAATGAATGTTTAATGAAGTTTTTAGTAAAGCTTTGCAAGTATTCAAAGGTGGAAGCCATGCTAAACTGCAGCAAAGAAATTTGCGAAACTCAAAGGGCTGATAAAGACATAAATAATTGAACATTGAAAGAGAATCTACGCGCAAAGTCATGCAGATTTTCCAGGGCGAAAACATTAGAATTTGCGATCATTTTCTCTCCCTCATTCCTTTCTTAATTTGTCTCAATGAACGCTCGATTGCTATTATTGAAGCTCATTTTAAAAATTTTGAGTAAGCACTTACAACTTTTCCTTCTAATTACACCAGATTTTTCAATTATATAGTCTGGTGATGGTCGACCTTTCGCTTCTAATAATCTCGGCTTTGGGTGAATATTTAAAAAATCTCGTCACATAAATTAAAAATTGTTTCTAGTGTATTTCTCTCGATTTATTCTCAATTGTTTACACACTTGATGATGATTGAATGATTTCTAACTAATTCACTAATTTCTTTTTGTTCCTCAAAGTTACCTATTGTTTCTCGTTCTAACTTTTTCTTTAACTGGTGTCTCTATAATAATGATTATTATTGATTAATAAATAATCTGCCAGCTGCACAAAAAATTACACTGCTTTTTTACTCTGATGCGATTCAAGCAAATGTGAAAATAAACTGTTGAATATTTTTTAAAACTTTTTTGAATAAACCAAACATATTTCTTAATCTTGGAAAGTACTTTAACAGACTTGATTCAGATTGAAAAACTTGGGTGAAAACTGTACAAGAAAGCATAAATATGTAAATTTTCTGTTGCTAGCTTCTTCCTGTTCAATATACAATTTTATAAGTATGAATATTTTTATCCACATAGAGAATTAATTTTGGCAGTGGGACTTGGGACAGTGGGAAAGTTGCAGAAAAGGCAGAAAGTTGATAAATTACTTTAGTTGCAAACAAAACTTTTATGTAAACATCGTGGGTCGGTTAACAATCGTTGTACTTTATATTTTCTGGTTTTATCTTTTATTCTTACAATTTCTTTAAACATTTTCCCCGTACAATTACGTATTACTTTTTAATCTCTGTATGGACTAATATGGTTGATAAACGACCAAAACCTCTTTGTTATGTAAAAAGTTGCTGAATGGCTTAGAAATAAATCAAAATAAAAAATGTAATTTATGCCAGCAGCTGTTAGAAAATCGCAGTCTTTTTAGCCCTGGGCCCAATTTATTGATCAAACCGTGCAGTTTTTGTTGGAAATTTCCTTCAGATGAAGATACAATTTTTGTGGATTTCATCACTTAACATTTGGACTCATAGTAGAGGGACTTGGATTGAAAAAATAATGTTCTAAAGCGAAAAATATGAAATTAAGCGCTTTTTTAATATCCAGAGTGACATAGTCAATTTTTCTATTGTAAAGAATATTAAATATTCACAATCTTTCAAGACGCACTTGCACTTTTTTTACAATTTTTAAGTCGTTTGTCAGTTTCTTCCAACGAAAATTTGAAGCATGTTTCAAATGAAGCTTAAATGAAAGAAAAAGTAGTTTTTGAGTCAACGACTTTTATACTTACAAGTAAAGTAAGCAAATAAACACCCCCTTAAATACATTATGTTTACTAATACTCTGAATGTTGTTAATGGCAAAATATCTCCAAAAAAACGGCTCATACAAAGAAAAGACGATGAAATTTTAATAAGTTGTCAATATCACACAGACATAATATGTTTCAACTGGTAAATATCACATGCATTACCTACGCTGAAACCCTCATATTGCCTGCAACTCGTTTAAAATTTAATAAAATCCACGGAAAGTAGGCCAAGACAAACAAGTAATTGCTTTTATGACATTTTAATCTGTATTTGCGGAAATTGGGGAAAATTCATACAAATAAAACGAATAAGGGAAAATTGAACAGAGCGGAGTAGCGAGGTGCCAACCATTGATAAGCCAACGTACTAATATAAAAAAAATTACAATAGACGGTATCACAACTAGCTTCAAAAAACTATAAAGGTACGTTCACCCAACAAGTCAGAGACAAATTTGCAAAAAATTATACTCTCCTACGGCAACAAACTCTGTCTTTACAAGCAAATATTCAACCCCTAAATCCTCCCTGGTGCCTTAGAATTTGTCCAAAGCTGCAAAACTAACATTTCCAGATTTCAAATTGTGCAAAACTAAATTCTCGCCTATCTTATACCCGTTTCGCTAGTATCAGAGCAAGTTCAAAATTTCAAGCTACTAGCAAAGACAATCTGTGCTTCCCAATACTCTCTAGAAACAGTTCGAGGCCAAAAAACTGAATATTTTTCAAATTTTTATTTTACAGTTTAACATGGTCAAAAGCATTAATTTATATGTGGATGAATACACCGTTTACAAAGATTTCAATTATTTTCTCTTCTCTCTTCTCTTAATCATGACTTCAAGTTGTCAAGGTTTATGAGCACGAGAAGTTCATTTATTAAAAAGACAATGTAATCCTAACAGCCAAAACAGCGGATGCTTAAGATAAAGAATGGGAATGTCTTGCAGTTCCAATTACTCTAATGGACGACTAAAAAGTCCAACTAGATAACTTCGGATTATGCAAAGAGTTTTCAAAGTCGCCAATTCACGATTGAAGATTCTATGCTGCCGGGCCGACTTAAACTATTCAAAGTTCAAAAATTTGCTTCATATTAAACGCCTTTAGCTCAGCATTTTCGCGAAGTTGCACTGGAAAATGTGGAATATATGCGGCAAAGTTCGAGAATTTGCAGACTTCCAACTACGATCTTTTTCAAAGCTTTTGCTACTTAGGGCGGCGATTCATCACTTTTGGCCAGTCATTAGAGCAAATATTCCCGATTTTTGCAAGGTGAGCGTCATAAAAGAACACAAGCTTTGTCATCAGAAGGATAATTTCATCATAGTCATCATAGGAGAACTTAATTATATCCAGGGAAAGTCAAATATGGGACGAAAGTCACTGCATAAAAAGTTTTCCCCCTCAGTTATGGTCGTCTGAACTTCCGAATCTTGTACATTTCACTTAACAAGTTTGCGAGAGTTTTTCTATGTCGGCTATTCTTTGGCATCAGATCAGTTATAGATTTTCAGAAGTTTGGGGGGAGAACTGATTTGAAAGTTAACCCAACAAGAAAACATCAATATTTATTGTGCCGGTACTTGGTGAAAATGTAAAATAAACTAAGTCTTTGTTATGAGACGTCTAAGAACGTAGCAGTAATATACTGGGTGTTCGAAAAATCCAATCAACTACAACGGATAGTCGAAAATCTGAAAAAATACGCTTTGGATTGGATTTTTTGTGAAACTTTCGAAGGAAAACAATCGGTTTAATTCCGATGCAAAATTACAATTGCTAAATTCTACATACCTACTGTTTTTTTGGAGATGCAATGCATTTTGGATCACAACGTTTTACTCTGTTTTTAATGGGATCAATAGATTCCTCACTTTCCTCCCATAAAAATGATGTACAATGTGAACTATTTTCCATGATTTGAGGATTTTCGAAAAATTACAACCATTGTGGAACAAATTGTGTGAAATTTCAGTCAAAACAGTTTTCTATCGGTGTTCTTCGCGCTCAGTTGATAATTTTAGGGTCAATAAAATTGCAATTATACATACACAGGGTGTTTGAGACTATAATAAGGCAGATATAGGGGATTAAAAACCAAAAATTTTCAAAAAGGTGCTAATGTTTGGGCGATTTAACTTCCCGC